AAATCACATCGATTTTCTAGAACAGATTACAAATCGCCTGAAAATGGTACAAACAAGTGGCAACATGTGTGATGAAGGTGTTGCGCTGGGCTATATCATGCAATCGAAAGTTAAACTTAAGCTCGCTCCATTGCGGAGATATTCCCGCGAGAGTGCGGAAAACTTAAATTAATTAATTAATTTCAAATGTGACATTTTACCAATATACTCACGGACCACTAGGGGGCGCTCACGGACCACCAGTGGTCCGCGGACCACACTTTGAGAAGCACTGAGCTAACTCTTTAAAAGTGACCTGTAAAAGAGGAAGGGTCACCTCATCTTTGGACTATGTATTTCCGTCTTTCACAAGATTGCCCGCAAAAAACGCCAAAAACGTGTTTTTCCGGAGCTAATTTAGACATTACGGTTACACATGAGCACGTTGGCTCTTGCAAACGTTGCAAAACAAACTAAAAGTGATGAGGTCGACAAGAAGGCGTGAGAGAAAGTGTCTCCCTGTGGGACCCCTGCATATTTCCCCCAGGTGAAAACAGGTGTGAGTGCGATCCAGACTTCTTCACCTGGCTCAGGTCTGTCATTACTCTGCCTGCCCTCGGGACCTACAGTAGGGTGGGAAAGAGCATTGCATTGTGGTCAAGGCTGATCCAGGGTCAGTGTCCCATTTAAAGGTTATACTGTTTTTCATCAATATATCACAGGTCTCAGATATATACAAAACATGTCTCTGAAGTGTTTGGCTCCAAACACCAAACAGATCATTGCAGCATCCCATAATCCCCTCTGTTTCAGCCCTGTTTCCAAAGTGCTGATTCTCTGTCTGTTACTTTAGATGAAAATAAGGAGCCCCTCCCCACGCCCCTCTGAGAGAGATTTGGTTAAAAAGAACACAATGGTGCTCTAGGAGGAGATTCAGGTGATAAGGTGGGGGGGGGGGTTGCCTTGGTTGCTGATTGGCTAATGGTTACACAAGCCAAAACATCGTTATGACATCATAAAGTGGCCAAAATCTGATCAGCTCATTTTCAGACAGGTTTTTATATAAATGGATCAGGACAAAAAGAGAGAGAATCTTTGTTCCTGAAACTTTCAGAGTCTCTTTCCACAGAGGGGACACATGTTGATGTAGAAGAGACATGAAGAAGAGGGGACACATGTTGATGAAGAAGAGACATGAAGAAGAGGGGACACATGTTGATGTAGAAGAGACATGGAGAAGAGGGGACACATGTTGATGTAGAAGAGACATGAAGAAGAGGGGACACATGTTGATGTAGAAGAGACATGAAGAAGAGGGGACACATGTTGATGTAGAAGAGACATGGAGAGGAGGGGACACATGTTGATGTAGAAGAGACATGGAGAAGAGGGGACACATGTTGATGTAGAAGAGACATGAAGAAGAGGGGACACATGTTGATGTAGAAGAGACATGGAGAAGAGGGGACACATGTTGATGTAGAAGAGACATGAAGAAGAGGGGACACATGTTGTTGATGTCGAAGAGACATGAAGAAGAGGGGACACATGTTGATGTAGAAGAGACATGAACAAGTGGATTTTGCATAATAGGTGACCTTTAAGAGCCGAGTGCAATAAAAGGCGACATCACTGTAGTCTTGTACCTGGTGTCACACCTGATAATTAGATGTAAAGCAACTTTTGTGGCAAAGACTACCTTCAAGTTGAATCATGTACTCAGACGTTAAGGTTATTTGTTACTTTTCAAAATAAAAAACCCTTGCAGTCTACAATAGAAAACCAGATCTTTCTGCGCCCTTCTTGCATGCCTCTTTTTCATTATCAGTTGATTGTAAACTTTTAAAAGTACCATCTTTTTCAAGTTCCTTTTGATAAAGACTGAATGAGTGATTCGCGAATATGCCTACCCAATGCTGTCTCCACTCAAAATGATGAAGCATACTTTGAATGTGCTGTAAAAACTCAAACAGTGTGCTTAAAGGGGCTAAGATATTCAATTCATAATTCAATTCAAATATCAACAAAAAAAGAACGTTAACAACCAAAATACTTGGTCTGTCTCATTTATGTATTTTCCAATGTTACGTTGTTCACACATGTCTGTCCATTTAAATATGAAGCTCCAGCTAGCTTAGCTTAGCTTAGCTTAAAGTCTGGAAAAAGAGCCAGGCTTGCTTTTCTAAATCAGCGGCATTTTCAGTGTCAATTTTCTTCCAAAAGTATTGTGCTTTTTGGTGCTACACAACTACTTTACTTGCTAACATTACATGGGTATTTAACAACCTTGATGATTGACTGATTTTAGCATCATACTGTAGGTGTCCCGTGATTTGGCATACAGGCTAAAACATCACATTTAGTCTCAAGAATGTATTTGTACTTTATCTAAATGGTCCGGATGCTATAAACTCCACCCGCCTGGTACACCCCGCAGGCGAAATCAAATGATTGTTTACAAGCAGTATTTGACCTTCTCCGTGATGTCCTCTAATGTTAGATCCATTATTTAAAGTTCTGTGTCTGCAGGCAGAGCACTTATATATGAAAAGCACCAGGTGTTTAGTGTACTGTGTGAACTTTTACCTTGTGTGTAATGAAGGGTGTTCATGTGCCTATATACTTAATGTGTGTGCATAGAGTCTTAAGTTAAGGGGAAATTATTTAAGATTTATGATAAGGATGCAGTAGGAAGGATTTAAAAGACATCCTAAGGAATATGTAGTCACACACGTGCATGCATGCAAGCGTATACAGGCATCTAAGCTCTATAAATGTCTCATAAATGTAGAAAATACATCTGCAGCACAGGCTTACTTCCACATTTAACATAACTGTGTAACGTCTTTAAACAAAACCGCTCATATCCCAGTTTTCATTCGATACACACTTACTCAAAGTACAATAAATTCCCAGTTTGCATTCTCGTGAAACTTGTGTTTTATCAGAGCTTCTCGGAGTCACTTTTTGGCTCTGAATGTTGTGTAATAGAAGCTTCGAATGAAGAACAAAGCCAGAACGTTTTCACTTTATATGAATACAACAGTTCCGACAAGAACGGTAGAAGACGGGGAAAATGCACTCGACATACTCGTATTCATTTCAAATCATAACAGGAAAGAGAAAGCACAAAATAAAAGCATTTACTGTCAAACATTTAACCTTTGTCAAGAAGCAAATAAACAAATGTTTTTACTGCCTTAAATAAAATAAGTTACAACACTGAAAACCAAATCCTGTGACTTCCCTTTGACCCGAACGTCAGACATGTGTCCCTCTCTCCCCCTTTCTCCCCCTCTCTCTCCTCCCTCCATCTGTCTCCCCGCTCCCTACCCTGTTATACCGCCTAAAATATGAGCTAATAGCAGGTTGTGAGGAGTCGAGGCTGCCGTGTTAATGTGCGTCTCTGCAGGGATTCCTCTGCTCATCCACCTGCTTATGTTTCCTTTTAGTTTTTCTACTGCCATCATGTGGTTTGAATGGGTATTGCAGCCTTTTACCTGCAGCATTAACTCAGTCATTACAAGATAAAACCTTTACATCTGACTTTTACCTCTAAATATCCAAATAAAAATGTCATTTTCAAACAAACAACATCTGAAAACCTCTGGAGATTTTAATTGGAGATGAAAGGGATAAAAATGTCATTTTAAAAGTATCTAAAGCCATCAGAAACCTGCCTGATTGCACTTTACTTAATAACACGCATGCCTCTATTGGCTAGCGCTCCAACACATTGTACGTGATAGGCTAAGGGGCGGGACATCGCTAAGCGGTTGACCAATCACAACAGAGCCGGCCAGCTAACCAATCAGAGCAGACAGGGCTCTGGTTTCAGACAGAGGGTGAAAAGAGGTGCTGCCGCACAGACAGTATGAGAAAAATAAAGAGCTTTCTGAACATTAAAGCATGGAGACATGTAGAGACACTACATACTGATATACACCTGAACATCAGCAGGAGAGGACTCTTTAAAGTAGAGACACTACATACTGATATACACCTGAACATCAGCAGGAGAGGACTCTTTAAAGTAGAGACACTACATACTGATATACACCTGAACATCAGCAGGAGAGGACTCTTTAAAGTAGAGACACTACATACTGATATACACCTGAACATCAGCAGGAGAGGACTCTTTAAAGTAGAGACACTACATACTGATATACACCTGAACATCAACAGGAGAGGACTCTTTAAAGTAGAGACACTACATACTGATATACACCTGAACATCAGCAGGAGAGGACTCTTTAAAGTAGAGACACTACATACTGATATACACCTGAACATCAGCAGGAGAGGACTCTTTAAAGTAGAGACACTACATACTGATATACACCTGAACATCAGCAGGAGAGGACTCTTTAAAGTAGAGACACTACATACTGATATATACCTGAACATCAGCAGGAGAGGACTCTTTAAAGTAGAGACACTAAATACTGATAGGAACCTGAAAATGACCAGGAGAGGACTCTTTAAAGTAGAGACACTAAATACTGATATGAACCTGAAAATGAGCAGGAGAGGACCCCTTTAATACATTTCTCCAAATCCTGCTTCTTTACCCCCAGTAGCAGTTTTTCTTCCAGACCACCTTCTTAGTCCACATGTCGCTGCTTGCCCACACAAACTGCTGGGTTTCCCGCCCTGACTTGTTTCTCATGTAAACACACCCATCAGATCCAAAATGGCTGCCCCAACAAATTGTGTTTCCCCGTTTTTACATTTTGAATAGTTTATTTCCAGTCTTTTAATTTCTGTAATGTACAATGCCAACATCAATAAAGTACTTCTTATCTTATCTTTGATTATTACATCTTCATTATGGAGAGGCTTTAAATCACTTATTATTCAACATGTACCTCAAGATCTTTTTCTATTTGCCTCCTTTCAGCCTTTAGGATGATTTGTTGTGAAATAGAGCTTCACCATTAATACAAATGGCAGTTTTGCTTGTCTATTCTTCATTATTCATTTAAAAAAGTGACCGTTTTGTCTTTCTTTTCCCTCAGGGTCGTCCAGGGCATCTTGGAGAAGTGGGTTCGAGCGGACCTGAGGGTCCTCGGGGGGGAACGGGACCCTCAGGGCCCAAAGGAGAGAAGGGCCACCTCGGATATAAAGGACCATCTGGCCAGAAAGGAGACAAGGTGTGTGTTAAAGACCATGGCGTTCATTATCTGAATTTAAATATTGATTTGATTGTAATTGATGACTAAAACTGTGTTCTCATTTAATCTGATCGTGATTTAACTATATTTAATATGTACTCAAACAGGGGCCTATGGGAGTGCCTGGGTTCCGGGGAACTGATGGAGTACCTGTAAGTAAACACACACACACACACACACACACACACACACACACACACACACACATACACACACACACACACACACACACACACACACACACATACACATACACATACACATACACATACACACACACACAATATGCAGTTTATTTATGAAGTGGTTAAATGAAATATAATAGATCGTTTGAGGCCATTTAGAGTAAGAATAGCTATAGATTATTTTATCAACGGACAGCTAACATCTTTGATTTTGATTTTTAAAAGAAACTATTTAATTGTGTGCTTTAAAAAAGTGAAATTGCAGATGTAGCCCCTTGCATGGTAAAACAGCAGGATATGCAATGATAAATATACAGAAATTAAACAACTGTATCGTGCTTTAAAAAAAAAAAAAAATCTTAAGAATGTTGGTTAATAATCTGTGACTAAAGGTCAGTCTATTTCCATTTGTTGTCTGTACAGTATTTATTTTCTGATATGACGTTTATTCTGACACACAGATATTATTTTCCTACTTATAATTATAAAACAGTCAATCTTTTCTTCATTTTCTAAAGATGATTGCCATATATTTTGTGGTTTTGACACAAAATGTGCCTTCAATTTGTATTTTGACCATTTTTTAAATATCATGTTGTTGTGTATGTTATGCTGTCAGTGTGTATACATGTAGGGTGTATATCAAAACCTAATTCATGTCAAAGATGTAACTCTAACCCCCTCTTCCTCTGTAGGGTCACCCCGGTCTGGACGGGGGAAGAGGACCCTCTGGACTGGACGGCTGTAACGGGACGAGAGGAGAAGCCGGAGACCCCGGTTACGGGATCGGAGCGCCCGGACCCGCTGGACTCTCTGTGAGGACAAACCTACTCTCTTTTATGACTTATTATATATATGTGTAGATGTCTGGATGTCATTGTGTAAGGAATGCAGATGTTACTCTAGATTTGTACTGATGTTTCTTTTCCTCACACAGGGGCCTTTTGGGCCGAAGGGTCAGAAAGGAGACCCTCGATATATCTCGGACGACGGTTCCACGGTCATTTTCACACTTTACTCTTTTTTAAATGTATTTCTGCACCTAAAGAACTGAGGATAATATTTGTTTGTGTATGATTTAATAATAATTATGATCAGAATCAGATTAGTTTTTTTATCCAGAGGGAAATTGGGGTTTTGCTTGATCTTTTAAATAAAAGAAAATACAGAAATAACATTAAATTAGAGTATTTATGCAAACTATGAAGTCGAAGTAAAAATGTGCAATATTACAATGTATAATATTCTTATAATTATGAGAAGTTCACAAGAAAATGTGTAATAAAAAAAGAATACAAATATTTATAAAAACACAACAAGTTAAAGTAAAAGATTTCCCAAAAACGATTAAATAAGATAGTATACAAATATTTATATAAAATAGCAAGTTATAAAAAGAAATTGCATAATGTTTATTGAAAAAAAAAACATTGAATATTTTTTTTAAATAAGTACAAATTAAATAATATGTATATAAACATAAGAAGTTAACGTTATATTGATCTGCACAAATGTGTACAATACATATTAAGATGAGCCATAAAAAACACATTAGAATTGCCTTTTTTTTTTAATATATTTGCTATTTTTGTGTAACTTCTATCCTCATATTTGTTACCTCTCATGGTGCATTGTACTTGAGGGTCTGAACAGCCTGTCATATTAGGTTTGGCCACTAGATGGTGCTATAGAGACAGTTGTGTAAAATTGTATTACAAAAACGAAGTGACTTTTGAGTCACCGATACAACTTTGCATGACTCTAATCTGTACACGAATGTTCCTGTATTTTGATTTGAAGATATGTATTTCATTATTTTATTTAAAATGTAATTAAGAGGATTTTGCTTCTTGTTTATTAATTAATCTGTGTTTCTTTCCCGCTTGTTTAGAGTTCACCAGGTTATCCAGGACCAAACGGTCAACCTGTAAGATTCTTACCTGTTCTTCTTGCTATGCAACCACAAATGATCATTAATACAGAATTAAACACCTGAGGATTTAATGTGTTGTCCTTAATGTTTGTATGGTTGTGTTTCTCTGCAGGGAATCAGAGGTCCCGAGGGTCCGTCTGGTTACCCCGGTCCAATGGGGCCCGAGGGATACTCTGTACGTACATTCATCCCTATCACTTTAAATAGTAAAGAATATTAATTTTGTGTTTGTATGTTGTAATATACTGTTATTATTGTCAATACAAATGTTATTAAATGTGAAAATGTTATTTTTTTTAGATGATTATCAGATTTTGAAAAGCATGAATAGGAATTGTTAGTTTGAGTTTCTTTCATTAGAGTGAATATTATTCCTGATTCTCTCGTCTGTCTTTAGGGCCCACCTGGTCCTCCCGGTCTCCCAGGGCCAATGGTAAGTAAAATAATGAAGCACATTGATTAATTATATTATATTATAATGCAATACATTTCATCCTTTTAATGTTGTTGTTGTTGTTGTTGTTGTTCTTCCAAGTGCATTTTGTTAACCCTTGCTGTTTTCAGGGGAGCCGCAGTGATGGATATGAAGGAGAGAAAGGAGACAAGGTATGATGCACGTAGACTCATTCAGTTGTAGAGATTTATTCACACACACACACACACACACACACACACACACACACACACACACACACACACACACACACACACACACACACACACACATACGTAAGGCCTTTTTTAATTCTTGAACGCACAAAGTTCTTAGTCTTGGACACTAGAAGATGATATTATTTATATTAAACTATATCAAAAGTTTGGTGTAAATAGTTAACCTGCTATTTACCAAGCATTTTTTTTTGGATGGTTTTAATTCCCACCTGAGAAATGACAAATGAACAAACTGTATTTTTGTCAAATAAGTGTCTTTATCATGATATCATCTCAGGTGCTAGTTTGAGATCGATTCAAATACCAGAGCAGAAGTGTAAAAACCATAACACTAAACTTATACAAGTCCAACACTGACTCATTATTGGATTAAACAAATAGTTATTTTATAGTAAAATGTTGTGATTTCTATTCTTAACCCCCATAAACATCAGCAATAGAGCCTAGGCTTAGTTAGAGAGCTCTATCCGTATATGTGTGTGTGAGTGTGTTTGCATTTCTGTGTGTTTTCTGATGACGAACATTATAGTGTGCATGTTTAATTCTGACTGGTGTTGCCTTTACATCCTGCTCCTCTTCCGTCCAACTCACATGTATTTACCCTCCATCCATCCATCCTTTTATTTAACCCCACCCATCCCTCCATCCGTCCTCCCCTTCATCTTCAGATTCACACAACTACTGAACTGTTTGTTGCATCTGTTTCCTGTTTGATAAAAGATCACATGAACCTCTACTTGATTCAGTCTGGTTTGTTCTTTCAAATGATCCGTGTGCTGCCACTGGGACAAGTCACAACAGACTGAGATTTGCACAACTTTCTATGTCCGATATGGAGTCAGTTTGCACTTCAAATTATTGTTAAATACCCCAAAAATCGACTTTGTTTGTGACTTGACCAGTGGCTCTGCACACCTGTTTCCCTCTCTGTTGAATGACAGTTCAGAGACTTTTCTTACTGAAGTTTTTCTCCAAAATTGGAAAACAATATCCCATATTCAAGCAAAAATACACCCAGTCTTGATTTGGCCATGAATCACCTTGCATTGGGTGTCATTACAGATAAACAATCTCATTGTTACACAATTAAAACTTCATTTTTGAGATCTCTGAGCTGTCATGGGAGGACGATCTGTGGTAACTGGGTTGCTGGAATCACTGTGCTCCTACTTCCCATGATGCACTTCACCCCCGTCTTTAATCACATTTGGGCATCTGCTGGTGAATTCTGGGATATGCGGTTCATTTGCTTGCTCTCAACCTCCATCCACCCACTCGTCTGATTTCAAACAGTCACACAAAAGAGTACTAACACATCAACTCCCTCACACACTGCATGCATGTGATACTCAACCAACACACTAAACTCAGTAAGATTCAGGGTTAAACTGAATGAGGAAACAGCTGGATTTCATGTTGGGATTAGTTTTTGTTGGCAAATAAAAATTCAAGTTGTACTTTTTTAACTGTTGTGGCAATAAAGGGTGCTACAATGTCTTTAAATCACCAAGAAACTCAAGATAAAGTATCCCTGAGCTCTCTCTCTCTCTCTCTCTCTCTCTCTCTCCTCTCTCTCTCTCTCTCTCTCTCTCTCTCTCTCTCTCTCTCTCTCTCTCTCTCTCTCTCTCTCTCTCTCTCTCTCTCTCTCTCTCTCGCTATCTATCTATCTATCCAACTATCTCTCATTCCCACTTCCTGTTTCCCCTGCGCCGCTCCTGATTGGCTAACGGTGTGTTGTGTGTATTTCGGACTCCAGGGCGACGTAGGTCTTCCCGGACCCAGCGGTACTCCGGGCGACGGCTCGCTAAGAAGCGAACAAACTCTCACTATCTACAAAGGAGATAAGGTAACACAGCCAAGGGAAGGATAGGAACAAACACACACATACATACATAATGGGATATCATAAAAAGTGGTAAAAAGAAAGAGAATACCACAGCAGGCAGAAACTAAAGGTTAAAAACGAAAGAGGAGCAGTGATTGCAGCAAACTTAACAGCCATGGAGGAACTGTGAGAAGGAGACTTTGGGAGGTGGAGGAGAGGTTGGTCCAACGTAGCATTAATCCTGATAATCTTCATCATATGGAGTTGCCCAAATGCAGAATTTAAACCTTAAAGTGTGGTTGAAAACTTCATAATCACAAAGTATTTGGATTTTTTGTCAAAACTAATCTTTATGCAATAGTTCAGTAGCCCTTTGACCTACCAAAATAAAGGCTTCCCTCATTAGAAATACAAGTAAATGAGAAGTAGTGCATTTAAATATTGTCCAAAAACCAAAACTACACACCATTGACTCCTTCCATTGATGTGTAACTCAACCAATCAGATCTTTCCTCCCTCCAGAATTTCATATATTGTGAAAATATATTAAATGAAAGCAATGCACTTCATCCAAAGACCAGCCTCTCATCATCACCCCAATATTTCCTCACTCAGTTCACAAGCCCTTCAATGGCTCCACGGTCAAAACAGAGCCCGTCCTCCAGTCAACGTTCCCCCACCTTCCCTATATCTTCCCTAAATGCCCCAAAAACTCTGCCGCCTTACCCCTCCTTATTCTGCCGTTTCCCTCGCCACCTCGTGATCAGAGTAAACAGATATCTCTTCCCTCGATTACGACATCCAGGGCGACGCGGGCTCACCCGGTGAACCCGGCCAGCCGTTGATCAGCATTGTGGAGTTTGTGGGTTTTCCCAAAGGAGACAAAGGACTACAGGTTTGTTGAAAAACACGACTTCTTCCCCAAGTAGGATGAGCTGTGTCGAACATGGACAAATACAGCAGTGTGTCCTCTAATCTCCCTGTGTTATCTTTCAAATCAAACATGATGTAGTGACTTTGAGATAAAGGGATTCAAAGGTTCACTGTATTCGTGAAAGTTTAATTACTGTTTACACTGAAAAATGTCCAGTAGCTGCTAGAAAAGGAAGAAATGGGCAAACAAATGTTGAATCAAAAGTACTAAAAGCAATAGGTCAGTTCAATTGAAATGCCCACTATTTACATTAGTTATCACCTTGATGCTAACATTATAGACGTGATAATCTGACTGTTCCACCCTGGTTTCCTCAGCTTTTCGAGCCCAACACAATGTATTTTTAATTTTTTAATGCCTACATCAGCGGCGTAGTTTTGGTTGTTATCGCCTTTCTTTTGAGTGAGATTTCACAGTTTCCACAGACTTGTAAAGGTAAGTTAAAATGTGTAAATATTGCTTATAGTTTCAAAATGATTCTGTACTTATGAACACTTTTCTTCTCTCTCTGCTTTGCTTAAAGGGTATACCTGGTCCAAAGGGAATAAGAGGATTTCCTGGAAATCCTGGTCGACCTGTAAGTGTTTAAGGCGTTCCTCAAGGCTCTCTACTAGATCCTCTTCTATTCTGGATTTACTTCCAATTGGCAGATTAATAAACAATCATAAGATATATTTCCATGTGTCTATAGAGAAAAAGATCCCCAAGCAGACTGACTTCTTTAAAACACTTTTAAAACCTTGTTATGTGATTTATTTTCCCAAGAACCTTTGATTTTCTACGACGTTTTTGTACAATAAAAACTGCTGTGATAAAAAAAAACGAACACGCAAAATATGAGTTAAGTCCACGTTAAGTGATATTTACTAATCTGTATTTTTACTTAAATCCAGGGACCTTATGGCTTTGGTGGAGAACCCGGAGAGAAGGGAATTCTTGGATACCCCGGAGCAAGAGTAAGAGCTACGACTTTATTACACCTATTTCATTCACAGAAATAAAAAATGTGGCCTTTTGTTTTATGAATCTTCCCCTAACCTCAACATAAGTGGAGATTCCTTACAATGTTCTTCTTCTATGGGTAAATGTACACTTAAGCATAGCTTTTACTGTGGTCAAACAAGTCTCTTACCTTTCCTTTCCTTCTTCTTCTGTGGTGGATGTCGTTTTTGATTCTACCAAACAGGGTGCTCCTGGTTTGAACGGGCCTCCTGGATATCCCGGACAATTGGTAGGCTAAAACTCTTACCACAAAATATTCAAGAACTGACAAGCTAAAATTATGATCTTTAAAACTGTACCACTATGACAACATTAGTTGTGCTACTTGCAGTTAACTCACAGATTAATACTGGGTTAAACTAGATTAATAAAAATGTCCTACAGTAGTTATTTAACTATTAAACGTTAGGAGCAATACCACAATGTATGCATTATCAAAAGTCAAAATGTTCTCCTCTCACAGACATTATTATTACATTAACATTATCATATTTATTGTTACATCTACTGCACATCATACTTCTTTTGTGCTGCAATAGACCCTTTATTTGCATATATTCTGCAAAATTGGCTAGAAAGTAAAGGTTTTTTTTAAATGAGTAATCTTTCATTCGTAAATGTAGGAAATCAGAAGCATAACGTTCTGCCAAATTTAAATACAAGATAATACATAAATATGGTAAGAATGCCATTATTTTCTTATATAAGCACAACTTTGGTTATATTACAAATATTTCATATATATATATATATATAATTAAGCTTTCCGTGATTTAATAAGAAATTCATACCTGATTTATTTTTTCTTCTGATACAGGGACTTAGAGGAACTCCAGGTTTGATCGGGCAACCGGGATACATCGGAGGAAAGGTAAAATTATTGTGTGTTTGTGTGTGTTTGCTTACACTTCCTGTTGACATACAGTTTTTTGCTGTGTCTCAATTCCATATAGATAGATACTGTAGATAGAGACTTCATTGGGATCAAATTGGGACATTTCTGCATAGGCCTACAGTATTTACAATGTTTCCAGTGTGAACACACTCAACGTCATACCGTAAAACTTATGAGAATAAACACTTAACTAAGCGTGGAGTCTACATAGTTTGTGTTCAATAACCGTGTCTTACCAGAAGATGGTGCCAGTGTTTCTTAAATGAATGTTACATTTGGGGAAGCTAATGAAGAAACACACTGGGTACTGTTTACCCAGTTATACATCGATAATTTACTTCATATTTAGCATTATGTTGTTTAAAGGTTATTATGTATTTCTTTTGTTTCTGTGGTGGCAATAGGTTTAATTTAATCAGTTGAAATTGCTTTCTGGTCAAGAGTAGGCTAAGCTAACCATGAAGCTAACAGCTGACCTTTAGCTTAAATGAGCTTAGCAGTAACAACTCCATAAAACCACAAAATGTCTGTTTTACAGTCTGGTTTTTGGGCAGATAAACAAACAAAAGACATATAACTTGATAATAAGTGTAACTTCTGTTAAATAGTCCCCCTGTTTCCATCCTTAATGCTAAGCTAATGTTAAGCTAAAAGGCTCCTGTAGCTAGCGGGGGTGGTATCGATCTTCTCTCTTCTCTTTCAGTAAGAAATTATCCCTTTTAAGGCTGATTCCTGCAGATTTGAGCACTTCATTCAAAATAACAAATATGTTAAATACAATTAAGATTTGTAAATGTGTTGTTTGTCCCTAACAGGGTGAGCAGGGAGACCCCGGATCACCAGGACCCCCAGCCTTCGTTAGTGGTCTGGGCGCTACTGTTCAAGGTAACACATCATCCATATTAATAATTTAATAGATCTAATAACCAGAGGTGGGAAGTAGTGGAGTACAAATACTTTGTTACTGTACAACATGTACAGTGGTGTCAGTACTTTACTCCAATACTTATTTTTCTGACGACTTTTTACTTTGACTTCTTACATTTTGAACACAAATACCTGTACTTTCTACTTCTTACATTTTGAACCCAAATACCTGTACTTTCTACTTCTTACATGTTGAACACAAATACCTGTACTTTCTACTTCTTACATGTTGAACACAAATACCTGTACTTTCTACTTCTTACATTTTCCAAACAGGCTGGTTCCTTTAGTTTGAATGTGTGTTTGGTGGCGTGATCATTATTATTTAGAGTCATTGCGTGCCTATTGATTTGAACACGATCCGTGTATCCATCATTTCCTGGTCTTCTCTAAAGAAGAGGGACCAATGAAAACGTTGTCATGTTGCCGTTGTTCAGCATGGAAACATTCATTAGCTAACAATGACATTATTGTTCTATTAATATAAAGGGAGGTCAGGTACTCTTTAAAACAGCTGCTAGTTATGGGTACAAACATAGAGTGTCTGTACTTCTACTTGAGTAAAGGATGTGTGTACTTTTGCCATCTCTGCTAATAACACTGATAAACTGTGAGGTATTGTTTAGTATGTTAAAGTGTCCTGTGTTAAATGTCTCTTCTCTCTGATTGGCTGCAGGAGAGTCAGGTGACCCGGGTCTCAACGGACTACCCGGTGCCCCTGGTGACCCCGGACCTCTAGGATACCCCGGACCCCCAGGACCTCCAGGAATTGTTGGTTTTGGGACAGGTAATGAACACAAACACACACACTGTATGGAGAATTGATAAATGCATTCAAAACAGCAGTCTCCAATAATTAAAAGTGCTTAATTTGTGTAAGAAATGCATGGTAATTGTTATTTTTCTTTAAAGAAAATCAAAAAGATGAAGAGAGATAATTTATATAAGTAATAATAAAACCACACAATTATTAAACACTTAATCGTTATAAAGGCCAGTGTGTTTATGTGTTTTTTAACTGTAAATGTCTATAAAATATCACTTGTTCAGCTCCTTAAAGGTGGGGTAGGTAAGTTTGAGAAACCGGCTCGAGATACACTTTTTGTTATATTCCATGGAATGCTCTTAACATCCCGATAGCAATGAATATCTTAAATGCTTTGACAATAAATTAGGGCTGTCAAGTTAACGCGTTAATAACGCGTTAACGCAAAAAAAAATTAACGCCACTAATTATTTTAACGCGATTAACGCATGTGTATTTTTTGTCCTCGGCCGCCGTAGTTTCAGAGCGCATCGAGTTTAAAATACCATCTACAAGCTGATGCTGACAGCCCCGCTCCTGCTGCCCGCTTGTGGCAGACCACACTTCCACGCTCACCGGCAGGCCCGGACTGGCCATCGGGAGGACCGGGAGGGTGTGTGTATGTGTTTTGCGCGAGCGAAGCACACCTTACGTGTTGTTGTTAGCATCTGGTGCTAGCTAGCTGAGCTAACGGATATAAGGAGCTGTTTCAATGAAAACAGAGGAGCGACATTTCGCCGACAACTGCGCCGAGCACTTGACTTTATGCAGGTAGCCAGACAGCACACTCAGCACGGATAGTGCCGCAACACAGCTCATACACACAGGCATATATGCCTTGAGCTGCACATAGCTCCAACAATCCATCACAGTGTCTCCACATTCACACACACACACACACACACACACACACACACACACACACACACACACACACACACACACACACACACACACACACACACACACACACACACACACACACACACACACAGTATTGTATTATTGTATGAGAGAGGTTCCAGGTTGAATTGAGGCGAATATTTGTAATGTTCAGGTTGTTGTGTTTAATATTCATGAGAATATTTGTCATTGTTCAAATGATAATAAACAAACATATAAAGCATAGTTGTCCACTCATATGTTGATAAGAGTATTAAAAACTTGAAAAATATCCCTCTAAGGTACATTTAGAACAGATAAAAAATGTGCGATTAATCGCGATTAACTATGGACAATCATGCGATTAATCGCGATTAAATATTTTAATCGACTGACAGCCCTACAATAAATACATTAAAAAATGTCATCTGTGGAAGCCGTAGTACTGTAAAAAGCACGACCAATCATCTGAGCCGGCCCGGCTAAAATAACTGGATGGCCTACCTGCCTGTCAGCCTTCCATCTGTGCACAAACTTATCTCGTGCCCTCATTGGTCATGTGCGCGTTCGTGTGTGTTGGAGGAGGGGCTCTGTAAGGAAGTGGCAGATTTTTTTCTCAGAATTCTAGCGCACTCGAGCTGGTTTCTCAAACTTACATACCCCACCTTTAAAGACTCAGATATTTAACAGGGCTTGGAGCATAGTGGCTTAAAATTGCCAAATGTTTTTGTTATGCTAATATGATAATTCAAGAATGAATTTGAAACAAAAAAGCTGTAAATATGTGTTATGTTCTCTCTCCTTTCGGTTTTTCTAGATGCATCAGTCTATGTGTTGAATATGTTCTTTAAATGATAAAAAAAAAAAAAAATGCAACCTCAGAAATCACCACTATTTGTCTATAAGGCCCACAAACCACTTAAATCATCAATAATAATCTTAGCTTATTTATTCTATTCCTCGTGGAAAGGTTAGCGTTAATATCTGCTAACCAACTAATTAGAAAAAGCATTAATCTGCGTTGCACGGAGGAAGAAATGGACTCAATTTGAAGATGTTCTTTGATAAAATGCAACTTCAAAATTAGAAATCACCTCCTATGTGTCTATAAGGCCCACAAACCACTTAAATCATCAATAAGCAAGATGCAATGGGTTGATTTTTACATCCAAATATCCATTTACCAATCGTCTCCTTTGCTCTCATATGAAGGTAACGGATCCCCAGGTTATCCCGGGACCCCCGGCCCTAAAGGAGAGAAGGGAAACGCAGGAATACCAGGATATGGCTCCGAAGGACTCTCCGGATCCTCTGGCTTCCCCGGATCCCCTGGCCTTCCCGGACCCCCCGGACCCCAGGGATCCAGAGTGCAAGGCCCTACTAGTATGTTCACACAAAAACAACTTTCAAATTCTTTCACAGGGCATTTTTTGGTCCGTTTTTAGCATGATTTGAACATGTCTGGTATTATTAAATGTGTTACATTCATATTGTATTAATTAAAAACACCTTAATGTGGATTCAGCATATTACCCCTCCTTAGTCATAGAGCTGGAGAGTTGGAAAAACATTATAGGTTTAGTCGTTTTACCAGCCGTAAAAGCTAGGGATCAAAACAGTATACATCTGTCTGTCTGTCTGTCTGTCTGTGTCTGTCTGTCTGTCTGTCTGTCTGTCTGTCTGTCTGTCTGTCTGTCTGTGTCTGTCTGTCTGTCTGTCTGTCTGTCTGTCTGTCTGTCTGTCTGTCTGTCTGTCTGTCTGTCTGTCTGTCTGTCTGTCTGTCTGTCTGTCTGTCTGTCTGTCTGTCTGTCTGTCTGTCTGTCTGTCTGTCTGTCTGTCTGTCTGTCTGTCTGTCTGTCTGTCTGTCTGTCTATATCTATAGACTTTAAAGCATCATGGCTGACTGGTTTTTATATAATATGTTATTGTTTTTTAGGACAGATATAATCATACAGTGTTTATCCTTCCATTTAAAATGTTTTTTCTTCAGAACAAACCCACCCCTACCCTGAAAAACCATATATAGGCAAAGAAAACAGAGTAAAACGCATAAAAACAATGCACATCAATTCTTAAAAGGTATTGAAATGAACCAACATTTAGTAGGAGTGCATAATGACTGATATAACTGTCATTCAAGGAAAACCCAATGAACCCTGCGTCATCTACCCCGAGGTTCCCACCGAAGGCAGGTATCAGAAACACGGCATATATATTGCCATAATCGCAATAATGGCAATATTCAGCCCGCCAAAAATAAAACCTCAAAACCATTTCTGGCCGGAAAGAAGCTATCTGCTTTTATTTTAACGCTATATATTCTGTGTGGAGGGTGCGGTGGTAAGTATTGATCAGAAGAGTGCAGTCTCTTCTCCAGACTTGGATGGGAGGCTCTCTCATCTCCAAGCTGCTTTTCCCATCTTTGGCCACCAGGTGTCGCTATAAGTCACTGATTTTACATGGACTGAGTGCATGGCAGCAGCGGAAAACAGCAGCGTTTGCAACAAAAAGGGACTTTTATTTTTTATTTTGTCGGCACAAAGACGTTAAAAAGCGACCAAACTGAAAGAAAATAATGTTAATAATATGGGGTTAGATTTGTCTCGATAATATTTGTGTGGACATAACAATTATTTGTGTGTAAATGTGTGATTTGTAAACGTAAAACACCTTCCACAAATACATTAAAAAGATTTGCAAACTCACAAAAAAAATGTGCAAATGTAAAACGGATCTGCAAAATATTTTCACAACTAAAAAAAAAAAGATCTGAGAATACTATAATTAGTTTACGAATCAAAAAAAGATCTGTGAATAGTGTGGGGGAAACTTCTGAAGCAATAGGAGTCAGGACTCACAATGGAGAGCTGGAGCTTTGATGGCAAACACTGACGGTTTATTTGGAGCTTCGGCCGGAGAATTCACAAGAGACATCACAGGGCCACGAGTTGACCACACGGATGAGATGCCACAATCAATTCTGAAGACCCCTCCTGTAGCTCCAGGTTTGAACTAGTTCAGAGTGTAATAATCAACATTTTTCAATAGATAGACTAAACGGACGCTGAATCACAATTGTTGTCGCTTATGGCTCGGGGTCCTCTACACCCCGAGAAGGATGTGTTCCAGGTGTCCCACAACAATAACTATCTCTGAGCGAGAGTTGCCCGGTCACAAACTGGTAACAACAACAACAACTTGCTAGGGCAGCCCCTCCTTAAGGGAGATAGCATGCTGCCCAAGGCTGGGCATCTGCGTCAGAGGGCGAAAGGTAATGGAAATTATTCCCTGACAAATACTATAATTAGTTTACAAATAAAAAAAAAGATCTGTGAATACTATATTTGTACAAAGACGCTCCACAAAACAGAGATTTGAGATCCACAAGCGCATTTTTGTTTGAGAAATACAACATTTATTCACAAATGCCTGATCAAAAGTTGTCAAATTCCTTTTTTTTTATTTGTGAAAATATTGTGGAAGGTGTTTAACGTTTATTACAAATCACACATTTACACACAAATTATTTCTATGTTCGCACAAATATTATGGAGACGAATCTAACCCCATACTGTATAATAATAATAATGTGTTTTTCTTTCAGTTTGCTTGGAAGATTTGATATACATTTGAAAGAACAGTTGTATTTCCTTTGCTTGTGCAGCTGCAACGCGCTAATGCATGCTGCTTGTGGCAAGTAGCTCTCAGCCATTATAGTCGATGTAAAATCACTGAATACAAGTGCCAAGCTGTTTTATATTTCATTACGATATAAACAAGTTAATGCTATTGAAGAAGCGTCTGTCATCTTGCAACAGCAGCTTTCATATCACATGCCGAACAAAGAGACTAATGCTTATTTCACACTGTGACGCTGAGCTGTGTTTGCACTGTGCTGCGAGATTTAAGTAACTCTCCTAATTTGTATAATTTTTGTTACGCTTAGTTCTATAAGAGTAATACTTGAAGCTGAAGTGAAGGGTTTTCTTTAAAACATTATTACTTTTTATTTTATTTTGTCATATTATCTATAAAACACGTGCTTTTTTGCTTAAAAAAATCAGCAAAATTGTGAATTTAATTGTAAAAAGTGACTGAAACTGAAATAAAAACCCAAAAATAGATTTTCTTTTTACATTTTAGATGAAGAGATATGTAAAATAAATAATTATTTTATTGGAATTTAACAGATTTCTAATTTTTTTTACATCTTACATCAGTCAGTGCAAGCTTACAGTTTACGTGCAAACAGTGTGAAATCTAAAAAAATCATATTATTTTGTATTTTTTGTGGCAAAATTGATTTAACTGTGTGTGTGTGGTGTGTGTGTGTGTGTGTGTGTGTGTTGTGTGTGTTGTGTGTGTGTGTGTGTGTGTGTGTGTGTGTGTGTGTGTGTGTGTGTGTGTGTGTGTGGTGTGTGTGTGTGTGTGTGTGTGTGTGTGTGTGTGTGTGTGTGTGTGTGTGTGTGTGTGTGTGTGTGTTGTGTGTGTGTGTGTGTGTGTGTGTGTGTGTGTGTGTGTGTGTGTGTGTGTGTGTGTGTGTGTGTGTGTGTGTGTGCTGTGTGTAGCTCCCGTAGCTTACCCCGGCCAGCCTGGACTGCCCGGCTCTAGAGGTCTGCCTGGCAACAATGGATACAATGGATACAAAGGTACACACACACACACACTGACTGGATTGAAATATATATCAAATCTGTGTCTCTGCAAGAAATGATTTAATAACTTGTTTCTTTAAGATATTAGAGATTTACTTGATCATGTGTATAAGGATTTAGGGTTTGATTAAATGTGTCGTCATGTCCTGCAATAGATATATTGAACAGACTCTTGTAATATATTTCCTTTATCCTCACATTCCTCATCCCTCGTTCCTCTCTTTTATTCGTCTTTTTCCACACTTCTCGTCCTATCGTCCTGTCCTCCGTCCTGCAGGTGAATCCGGAGACTGCGCCTGCCTCGGGGGGGGAACATCCGGAACGCCAGGACTACAGGGACCGCCCGGACCCAGCGGGAACCCCGGATACGCCGGAAGAAAGGGGGAGCTGGGAGATGGCGGCACACCTGGCTTTGGGGGCAATCAGGGACCTCCTGTAAGTTCAACTGTTTGTATTTTAGGCAGAGGTGGGAAGTAGTGGTGGAGTACAAATACTTTGTTACTGTACTTAAGTACATGTTTCTGGTATCAGTACTTTACTCCACTACTTATTTTTCTGACGACTTTTTACTTTTACTTCTTACATTTCTAACACAAATACCTGTACTTTCTACTTCTTACATTTTGAACACAAATACCTGTACTTTCTACTTCTTACATGTTGAACACAAATACTTGTACTTTCTACTTCTTACATGTTGAACACAAATACCTGTACTTTCTACTTCTTACATGTTGAACACAAATACCTGTACTTTCTACTTCTTACATGTTGAACACAAATACCTGTACTTTCTACTTCTTACATGTTGAACACAAATACCTGTACTTTCTACTTCTTACATGTTGAACCCAAATACCTGTACTTTCTACTTCTTACATGTTGAACACAAATACCTGTACTTTCTACTTCTTACATGTTGAACCCAAATACCTGTACTTTCTACTTCTCACATTTCCCAAACAGGCTGGTTCCTTTAGTTTGAATGTGTGTTGGTGGCGTGATCATTATTATTTAGAGTCATTGCGTGCCTATTGATTTGAACACGATCCGTGTATCCATCATTTCCTGGTCTTCTCTAAAGAAGAGGGACCAATGAAAACGTTGTCATGTTGCCGTTGTTCAGCATGGAAACATTCATTAGCTAACAATGACATTATTGTTCTATTAATATAAAGGGAGGTCAGGTACTCTTTAAAACAGCTGCTAGTTATGGGTACTTTTTACTGAAGTACATTTCAAAGCCTCTTTACTTTTACTTGAGTAAAGAAGTTTAGTCAGTACTTCTACTTTCACCAGAGTACTTTTAAACACGAGTATCTGTACTTCTACTTGAGTAAAGGATGTGTGTACTTTTCCCATCTCTGGTTTTAGTGCTGTCATAACACTGGCTTTATCCTCCGAGTATAATGTGTTCTAGAGAGCAGTACAGGGTTTCCATTAGCTGGTATTTATCACACTTTTACTTAAAGAGGCCCTATTGTGCTTTTTGGGGTTTTCCCTTTCCATTTCCATGCATTTATGATTCATGCATTCTTTATACAGCCAAGATCAAAAATATTTGTATTGCGTTTCGACAATGCATAAGCAGTGTTTGTCTTTTAGAAATGGAAAGCAAAATATATGCATACAAATGAGACAGTGGTCTGTACTGATTGTATGTACAAGAGAAAAATAATTTCAAAGAACACAAACAAACAATAACAACGACTAAAGTAGTCCCTTACATTCACTGCCAGTGAGCCTCATACTCAATATTATTTACCAGGAACATTGTTAAATGACTATATATACATGCAACACATACATATACTCATACACTATTGATTGTTTTTAAACTGAACAATAAAAACTGGAACTTCTCCCATTTATCCAGCAAATTAAAAAAATCTTCCCTAACACGATGACAAGGACCATTTATTTTCTACCGGGAAATGCTGACCCAGTGTCATCATTTAGCCAAAATATATGTTTCACAAAAGTAATTTCTGTCCTGTTTCAGGGTCGATCTGGTGAACCCGGCATTATTATATATTATTATATTAACATTACAATACTCATTGATACATCTAGTGTACATCAAACTTCTTTTGTGCCACAATATAACTTTTCTTTCGACATATTCTGCAAAATTGGCTAGAAAATAAAGGTTTTGAAAAATAAAATGGTATTATTTTCTTCTTAAATGTAGTGAATCAGAAGTATTGTGTAAATTGTGTCATAATTTAGCCAAAATGTATGTTTCACAAATGTGATTTCTGTCCTCTTTCAGGGTCGTTCTGGTGAACCCGGAAACTACGGTCGTAAGGGGGAGAAAGGAACGTCTTTTTACCCCGATCTTGGTGCAGGAGTGAAAGGAGAACTCGGAGGAAATGGCCCCCGCGGACCGAACGGAGAAACTGGAAAACCCGGAAGAGACGGAACTCCCGGATTCCCTGGAACTCCTGGACCCCCCGTGAGTGTTTAAACATGTTATTATTCATATTGTGGCGGCTCAATTCCCCGTTTAAGTTTGAGTCGCCGAGAGGCTAAGCTTGACTTTACGCTGCGACGCGTTTTCAATGAGAAAGTCCGATAGGTTGAAGATATTTAATAAACAAAATCAAACACACAATAACTTAGAGGGACCAAAACGGTCAACAGAAAAAATGTTATTTAATAAACAAAATCAGACGGACGATTGCCGGAAGTGCTCAACAAATACAAATAAAAGTGAAGTAAACAAATAATAATAATAATAATAATAATACAAATAAAAGTGACGTAAACAAATAATAATAATACAAATAATAAACTCAGGCTAAGTAGCATTTTGGCTCCTACACATATTAATCTAATTCAGGGGTGTCAAACTCAATTTCACAGAATGAGATGCATTGTGGGACATGTCGTTTATGGGCAACGTGCTTCTGTAAAGCGGCATTTAACCGTATAATAAACGTATTATATTCTCTCTCTGCAGGGTGATGGTGGATACGGCACAGTCGGCGAGAAAGGGTTCCCAGGATACCCGGGTGCTAAGGGTCGTCCCGGAGAACCCGGAGAACCCGGCGGAGGATACGTCGGCACGCCAGGTTTCCGTGGAGACGCTGGAGAGCCGGGAATATCGGGACTACCAGGACAACCAGGATTAGCAGGACCACGAGGTAAGTGAATGAGGAGAGGAAGTGTGTGTGTGTGTGTGTGTGTGTGTGTGTGTGTGTGTGTGTGTGTGTGTGTGTGTGTGTGTGTGTGTGTGTGTGTGTGTGTGTGTGTGTGTGTGTGTGTGTGTGTGTGTGTGTGTGTGTGTGTGTGTGTGTGTGTGTGTGTGTGTGTGTGTGTGTGTGTGTGTGTGTGTGTGTGTGTGTGTGTGTGTGTGTGTGTGTGTGTGTGTGTGTGTGTGTGTGTGTGTGTGTGTGTGTGTGTGTGTGTGTGTGTGTGTGTGTGTGTGACGCCTTATTCTCCACACAGGTTGACCATAAATCCATCCCCTTCGACTACTATCCATCCTCCATGTCCTGTAGTAACCATAGCAACTTCATCCTAACCCCTTTAAAACCATTAGAGGACATTTTCCCGGGGGAAAAAAACGTATTCCTAGGATCTGAAGAGACGACATGTTTAAACTCTTCTTCCCCGACAGCAGCTTCCCGCCTTCACGCCTCGGCTGCTGCTGCTTAACTCCGTGATTAATGGTCTCCTTGATTAATAGAGACCATTAATGAGCTTCTTCTGCAGCCAATAATCTCAAATCCATAATCTGCTTCCTACGTCGACTCATTGACGCACAATGATGTGATTTTAATGCTGCAACAAGCTGCTGTGCTTCCTTAGTCTCGGAAGAAGTGAGAAATTATCATTTATTTGTGATTAATTATTGAATTTGGTTTTTATTTTGAAGGAAAATACTGGTGTTTATTTTAAATTCTACGTCTAATTAATCCTGTATTGGTGCATAAAGGCAATGCTTCTCAAAACTAATAAAACACCCACAATTTTTATTTTAAAAGACACATTTAGAGTCTTATATTTAATATATAGTCTCTTAATAACATCTGGTTAATAGTTAATAGTGTAGAAAAGTAGAAACACATCTACTTAGGGATAATTTGATGATTTGTTGATGTATGTGAAATTATTTAAATTGATATATGGCAGAATTTAGACCCAAATAGATGGACTCAACACAGTCAAAAGTGTATTAACGCCCCCCTAGGTGTATGTAATACTAGATAGATTATATAAATAGTTTTACACATTTCAAGCCCGGTTTAAAGCCTGTAACGTGTATATATATATATATGTATTTTTGTATATATTATAACAATTTTTATTTTAAAAGACATATTTAGAGTCTTATATTTAATATATAGTCTTTTAATAACATGTCATCCTAGTTAATAGTTTAGTTAAATAGAAACACATGTACTTTTTGACTTTTTTATGAACGTTAAATAATTTCTCAAGTTATTTAAATTGATATATGGCAGAACTTAGACCCAAATATATGGAATCAAGTGTAGTAACGCACTTTTTGTAATAAATTATCAATTATTTAGACTTAAAACTAGGCAATACATGTATGTCTAGATGCCTGTAAAGCTAACAAAAACATACAATTAAAGTAATATACGGCGTCTATGATAGAGAACCAATTAACCTAGACTTTAGTTGACAGAAAATGACACCAGTGGCTTCCTTTAAATCTAAATAATCTTCTTCTCCGAGACTAAAGGACACAAACCCTCAGCCTCTCCAGTGTGAATGTGAGCTCTCACACCGTGACGCTAATGCTAAACCACTGATTGATTTTTGCTCTTAATATGAAGGTTATTGTCGCTCACATGAGCCGAGAGACTATCATAAGAGACATACTCTTAGTCTCTCCTCTCATTGGGTGGAATAACCTGTTTTTTTTTTTATTGAAGCAGGCATTTCAATATGCTTTGTTGCCTTAACTGAATGAGCCTTGAATGAATTGAACTGATTTGCTGAATATCTGTTTGATGAAAAATAAGATATAATTTGCTTTATTGACGCATGCAAAATGACCCTGACTGGCTTTGTATGCTGCCATCTTCTCTCTCTCTCTCTCTCTCTCTCTCTCTCTCTCTCTCTCTCTCTCTCTCTCTCTCTCTCTCTCTCTCTCTCTCTCTCTCTCCCATCCATCCCTCCCTCTCTCACCTCTCTCACCTCCCCATGTGCATGTGTATCTGTCCAGGTGAAAACAGCTGTGCAGGGGTTAATGACGACGGAGAGGGAACGGGTGGGTAACTAACTTTTTCCTCCACCAGCCAGAGAAAACGCGGGACTAGATTTTTAGTTTCGGACACCCCGACCACTGCTGGATTCATAAAAAACATCCCTTATGTTCACATGCTGGACATCCAACAGGAAATGACCACTTTAGAGGGAAATAAACAGTGATATTTAAGGGTTTTTCAGCCAATTGTATTCAAGTATTGCCACATATTTGTTTACCAAAAAGCAAGAATAACGAAAAGTCCCATGTCAAAGATTGCTGTTTAAAATAACAGTTTAACCTACATAGGCTCAGATGACCTGTGTCCAACACTTTAGTGCAAGGGATTGTGGGAAATGTAGTCTTTTGAAGTTCTGTAACCAGCTGTCAATCATTTGTTCATGACTCTGCAGTCAGTGATGATTGACGGTCGAGTTTCAGCTTTTATTTTGACAAACAACACTCTTTAAAAACAAGCAATGTCACTCTCCTCTTCGTCCAATCAAAGCTGCTGAAACCTGCCACATGCTTTCAAGCCCCGCCCCCTCTGCTGAGAGCTTTAATAACCTGAGTTTTGGGGTTATTTTGGGGGTGGGATGGGGTATATAAGGAAATCATAAACCCTGATTCCCCAACACCAGATTGAATTGAACTTTTCAGTCATCATCTTTGAACTTCATTGCGATGAAATTTGCCACTAACAACATTCAACACACATAATAATAACAACAACAATAATTCCCATAATTCAACTCAGATTAACCGAAATGAAAGTCGTGAATTTGGCGTGAATGGAGGCGACAGACAATCAACGCTGCGACACACATTCATGAGAATATTCTGTTTAAATAACAATAAGAGCTATAGAAATATTGTGTAAAGTATTCTACATATTGCTAAATATGTGCAGATTTATTAGACGTATAGTTATCTCTTATATTAAAAAAACAAGTAGGCATGTATGTTATCTATCGTTCACTGTTTGTTAAAGTATTTAAAGTGTGTGTGCTAACTTGTGTGACTGCTACCAGGCACAGTTTTACCGTGCTCCATACCCGGTGAGGTCGGAGAGCCCGGAGGACCCGGACGACCCGGACAACCAGGTACGATTTAAGAACAAATTACCCATTTTTTTTTTCGACAAATGCACTTCCTGTCTGTTTTCTCATCTAATTAAAAAAAAATGTTTTAATTTGCCTAACATTTTTGATTTAATATTTTCTGATCGGAGCAGTTTTTTCTGATTTTTTGTCTGTTTTTAATGCATTTGTTTATTTAAAAAAGCAAGATTTATCTGTTTTTTTTAAAGAAAATTGCTTTTTCTTTTATAGTCCTAAAGCAGGGGTGTCAAACTCAATTTCATCGCGGGCCACATCAGCATTATGGTTGCCCTCAAAGGGCCGGTTGTAATTTTAACACTATATAAATATACATATATAAATATCAAAATAATGTTTTATACTGTATAACAATATTGCCTCTGCATTGGAGTATTATTGGTTTTGGCAATAACTACGTCTGAAAGCACATGGTTGTGCATTAATGTATTGTGCACGTAGACACAAAAATACTGTATGTGGGCTCAGACTAACATTTCACTCTCTTACTGTTACATAAATCCCATGAATTTATGAAATTTAGTTAGCCTCATCATATCTTATCAAAAAGAGATACAATGTTTGTGAAATCTATTTTTTGTGAATAATAAAGTATTTTTCTTTTGTATATCAAGCATTATTTAAGTAGGCTATATTTCATTTGAATTCAGCAATAATATTTTAATAGTCTGAAAGCCAAGACTTTGAGAACCCCCTGTCCCAGATCCTGCTGTGTTACTATCACCTGTCACTCACTATTTCAGTAAGCAGTGAGTGGGGGGGGGGGGCGGCGGCGTGTTGAGGAGGAACAGAGTGAGAGGGGACAGGGATCGCGGAAGTTTTCCTCCTTCCTTTACAAACTTTACACAAGTATTTATAAGTATTTATCGTCTGAATATAGCAAAAAGACGTTCATACTCTGCAAGCCAAGACCTCATATATTTTAATCAACCAGAAACCGGAAATAACCGTAACGCGAGTTTTTCTAAAACATAATAAATCCATGTGTGTCTCTGAGCCGCAGCAACACCGACTGATTCTTAAAGAGCGGGTCATTCTGTCTGTTTGTTCTGGGACTGGAGTTGCTTGTCTCGGTTGCTGAAGCAGACTTTGCTCCGTGTTTGGTGTCTCTGTGCCGCTGTAAATTATGTTCCTTCAACTCTGTGTCACTCACAGTCACACACTGGTCACTCACCGCCTCAGAGTGCCGCTGCTGATAGGAAGTCGCTTCAGTGCGCACGTCACAAAACGAAATGCATTTTGGGACATGCTGTTTATGGGCAACGTGCTTAAACGGCATGTAACCGTATAATAAACTGTTTATATTCTTTGCGAGCTCTCGCGGGCCACATAAAATGACGTGGCGGGCCACATTTGGCCCGCGGGCCTTGAGTTTGACACGTCTGTCCTAAAGGAAAGGAGTGGAACTGCAGTTTGGAAGAATTTAATTTGTTAAAAATGTTGGATGCAAATAACAGGACAGCACATGAGAATTGATTGATTTCATAAAAAAACATGATATCCTGTGAAATAACATTTTTAAAAAAATGAAATAATTAGATGTATTATAGACTTCACTTTCTTCTGACTCCTTACTACAGCTACCCTAACCCCCCAAAAAAGGCATGCAACCGTAATTATGCAACTTCCTGTCCCCGAGAGGATTTCTGGAGCAGACTTTTATGAACCAGATAGACTTGTATATTAAGTTAGAATTGTATAGCAGAGACAATTTGACTTGAATCTACTTAATCTACATGAGAAAGAAATACTGAATACTACCAAAAAATGTGGTAAAAATTGCATTTCAACAAACTAAAGGACACTCATAATGAACAGCAGAGAAAATGAGACTTTAATCTATTCAACATGACAAGAAAATACTAATTACTACCAAGAAATGTGGTAAAAATGGCATTTTAAGGAACTAAAGGACACTCATAACGAAGTCCAATGTGCATTTACCCGTCAGGCCCTAAAGGTCAGCCAGGGTTCCTAGGAGGACCCGGACGTCCCGGATTTGACGGGTCCAAAGGAGACAGAGGAAACCCCGGTTTTGGAGGACAACCTGGACCACAAGGTAAAACTAAACACTAAATTGTCTCTAATCCAGGCCGATTATTTTACTCCCATTGTGTTATTTTATATTGTATGTATTCCCTGTACAGCACTTTGGTAGACTGAGGTTGTTTTAAATGTGCTATATAAATAAATAAAGATTGAGATTGCCTTGCCTTTTTTTTAAATAAAATAACTCTGACTCCCTTCTCTTTCTCCCTTTTCCTCCGTGCAGGTTTCCCCGGACCCAGAGGGGATTCTGGTATTCCCGGCGGTCCCGGACAGAGCTTTGACGGCGGCAAAGGGAAGGACGGAGTTCCTGGTCGTCCCGGAGGAAAGGGCCAGACTGGAGAGGTGCTGGGGGCCACGCCTGGCTCCTCGGGACAGAACGGAGGACCAGGGACCCCTGGAAACAAGGGCCAGCCCGGGACCCCTGGAGGGCCGGGACAACCTGGTGGGTCTGAGACACTGATTCTTTAATTTAGTCCACTCCTGAGCTTGGATTATCAATTCAACGCCATAAAACACATCCTCTGAAATGACCACATGGTTGTATCAACACCTTTTGCAATCATGTTGAACAAAAACAGATATTTATACCCTTGATCAAGGGAGTTTTCAATGAATCAGTTTAAGTTAGTACCTGATCAATTCGACATAACAATGTAAGAAGCTGTGTTAATTGTAGAAATTGTGCTAAAAGTAGGGTTTTGTTAGCAAAATATAACAGAAGCAAAGCAAACGGAAACATAACCTTTGCATAGTCCAATGATCATCAATCAATATATGCAAAACTATACAAAACGGTGGTATTCATTTAAAGGGTATTCAAAAAAACGTGTAAATGTGATTCTAACTAAAACATATTTTCTCAAAATATGACCTTAAGGGGCTCTAACAACCTAAAACTGATTTTACCCTTCATAAAAAGAGGTATTCATGTAGTATTTGAAGCTAGGTCTACCTGATACATTGACAGTATAAGTAACTGTATTATAAGAAGTCAAATTAGTGATCGTATCATTTATTTGTCCCAGGAAAAAACGGGTTTCCTGACAGTTGTTCCATTTAAGACAGATATAAATTAAAAGATGAATAAGAGAAAATATGATGTAAACCTAAGAAGTAAGAATGTGCAATAAAATGCTCAAATAAGAAATTACCAGAGGGAAACATTTTTTAGCTTCTTTTTGCCCCTTTTGAACATGACAGAAACATGACAGATTTTTTTTTAAATGCTTTGTTACACCTTGAACGTTTGTTTTATTTTGCTTCTCTTTGTTATAATTATTATAAATATTATTATTGTTTATTTGGTTCTAACATGTTCAATAAATCGACTAATAAAATAAAATAAAAGTCTAACTATAACTATATTCCCTCTCCCTCTGTCAGGTGGCGACGGGCGTTTCGGCGTTCCCGGTCTGAGGGGAGAGCGAGGAGTCGACGGTTACCCCGGTAACAACGGTCTTCCCGGACTTCCAGGCGAGCCGATCTTTGGTATTCCCGGTCGTCCCGGTTCTCCCGGTAATGTCGGATTGAGCGGATCTCCAGGTGAGGAAAACTCAGCATCTTCCTCCACGACACTTCAGTTGAATTCTGTAGGACTTCGAGTGTGAAAAACAACAAGTTATTTGGAGCTTGATTTCTAGTAAAATAGGATTTAGTTTGAACTTGGCTGTCACTCCTCCCCCCCCCCTCCCTTTTTTCACTTTTCCTGCGTTGACGAATCAGACACCACAGTTTTTGTGTTTCCTGTTGTTTATTTGAAACTCTGCATCACCCAAAAGAATTCTCCTGTTTTGCATTTCTCTGTGTTTCCTCCTCCTTCCTTCCCTCCTTCCTACACACCACCACCATTATCTCCATCATCCTCTCATCCCTCCATCTTTTCTTGGTGTTGGGTCATTCGCTATAGGCTGCCAAGGTGAGACACGCCCTCCTCTTCCTCCTCCTCCACCTCGTCCTCCACATCCATCCCTTTTGCTTCAAATCCCTCCATCCTCCTGCTTCGTGCTTTAGACCAAACGCTCTAACAGCGCTCGCCATTTCTCATCTGTACAGCAGACAAATGTCCATCTGCATATTCTGATTCATATTCTGATTCCCTTTTCAAGTCAACGGTGTGTCAAACTAGTGTTCTCCAATAAATAAAGGATATATTTAAGGGTTTTTTACATAGAAGTAGGAACTCCAACTTTCAGTGTCTTTTTCTAGAAGTAGGTCTAAAATGTTCAAGTTTGGAGTTCTCTAGAGGTTTAATTTGAACTATTTAAACGTGATATTGTTTGGCAGAAAACTCCTAAACGTTGAAATATTTCAAGCTTGCAGCTCAATGCTGTACAGCAGACACATCTGCATATTCTGATTCCTTTTTCCAGTCAGTGGTGTGAAAAACTAGTCTTGTGCAAGTGGGAACTCCGATTTTCGGCATCGATATTCTAAGGAAGTCATTTTTAACAACTTACTCTTTAAATGTATTTTCTTTAGTTACTTCTTCCTATATATAATAAGCTAAATGTTCACCAAACTAAATGCTCAGGATATATTTTAATGCTTTTGTTCATCAAAATGAAATGTTGTATAAGTAGGAACTCCGACTATACAGTAGGTCCTATATTGTGTATGTACTGAGTTATCTAGAGCAGTGGTTCTCAACTGGTGGGTCGCGACCCAAAAGTGGGTCGCGGACCCGTTTCGAGTGGGTCGCGGATGTGTGAGTGAAGAAAAAAAAGTTGAGAAAAAAAATTGGAATTCTTTTTTTTTTTTTTTTTTAGAAAAAGTCAAACTTTTATTTTGAAGGCCCGATTTTCTTCTCAGAGTGTACCAGAATGCGTAGTTTATGTTAGTATTTCTAAAAATCTCCTGGGGGAGAATCCCCCCAGACCCCCCTGCTGGGGTTGGGTTTCAGCATGTGTGCCTTTTTATGTTATATAGTTCAGCTTTGATTCCATCATCTCATTAAACCTTTTTTTTTAAAAGCATACTTTAGTTCTGTGAAGGGATATAAGGGATATATGCACTGTACTTCACTTTTATTAATATTGTATGCTCAAAAGCGTATATATTACAGCAAGATTTTTTGTTGAATAGATTTGAGTGCTTCAAAATGTTGGGTCGCGATGTATTGACCAAGTAAAAAGTGGGTCCCGAGGCCTGACCAGTTGAGAACCACTGGTCTAGAGGTTCAATTTGAGCAACTAACTATTTAAATGTAATCTCATTTGGTAGATAACTCTTAAACGTTGGAAATAATTATAAGAAAATCCAAGTTTCTTAGTGAATAATGAAAAGTGTTGCTCCCTTCTCTGCATGTAAACAAGATACATTTAAACACAACTTAGAAATATAGTATGTGGATCATGTTTTTATCCAATTTGTGAATCTGAACATGCTGAAAGGACACCTGATTGTACGACAGTTGAAAAATATATTTTACAACTCAATTAAAGATCAGAACATCAGTATAAGATGGACATTTCCGCTGCTACAGATCCAGAAACATAACGTTTATTATGAAATGTGACTTCCACTGATGTTTGTTGTTTTTTTTTACAGCTGGTACTAACCCTCCTAGTTCCTCCTGAAGTGTAATCTGTACTAAGATGTGTTTATTGCATTAGTGTGTGTGACAACTGGCTTTTTAACAAGCACCGTAGAGGCGTTTCCTCTTAAAAAAGGACTTTTAATTTCAACACATCCATTCATCGTGCTCAATTAGTGCGAGGTTATAAACATGTAATGGTTTAAATGTGCTTTAGATTGCATGGGTGTGTTGAAAACGGTCCTCTTTTTAAGAAGGTCAACAGTAGTGATAGTCTGCTAGCACAACTTTAGGCGGTTGAGAAAACGCTAATTCAGCCTGGAATTGCACTTGAGATTATTATATCTTTGGATAAAATATTGCAGATTTGATCGAGAATATGTAAACTATTTAAATCCCTTTTATAATGAGCTGAAATTGTTTAATAACAAGTGCAATTGCAGCCTAACCAAGGCAATGACACGACGTAGTGGCACATGTTTGCATTGTACTTTTTTGCCAAACTGTGTGTTTTAATAATATAAATAAATCATAAAGTGCTATATTTATTTATGAACTTAGCTATTGTGTTGGAGGTAAGTTACATTACAGGTAAGTTTATGTGTTTGTTACTCAGTTTTTCTAACTTTCTGAGCTTTTTCTTTACTTAAGTGTCTGAAAAAGTGAAATTACTATGTCTATTAGTATATAGATTTAGCCTATACTTCCTTCTCCTTCTGACTAAATTCCTCCGCCTTTCTTTTGCCCGTCTCGCCGTCCTTCGTCCGCCCGCCCTCAGGTTTCCCCGGTAGAAAGGGAGACAGAGGAGACCTAGGTTTCCCAGGACCAGCGGGGATGAAGGGGACCCCCGGCGTGCCCGGTACCCCTGGATCTCCGGGGCCCCGAGGACCCTCCGGACCCCCCGGACCGGGAACTAGAGACGGGATCCCAGGAACACCGGGAAGAAAGGGTAGGCTGGAGATGCTGTTTATCATCAAAGTACTTGTCGCTGCAGTAGGGCTTTTCAAATTAGCCAACATTTTCATGCATGATGTAGAGCAGTGGTTCCCAACCTGTGGGCCATGGCCCCCTAGTGGGCCCCGAACGCATTTCAAGTGGGCCGCCAAATAATTTGCAAAACATTATGATTTGTTTGGAAACATTTTCATTACTAAGATTTAAGATAATTTTACCTCCTTTCCTTTCTCTTTCTGATCCTCCTGAGCAACTGTCATTACAGCCCTTGACAGCGGTCTGTACTGGATTAACAACGTGTCACATGTTCTGAATTGACCAATCAGAACTTTATTTAGCCTCCGTATTGTTTATGGTTGAATGTGGGCTGCGAAAAAAATTTAGATTCTTATGTGGGCCCTGAGTTGAAAAAGGTTGGGAGCCGCTGATGTAGAGGGCTGACGTAAAACAACACTAGTGAGAATCAGCAAGGTTTATTTCATTGCATTTTTTCCTATTGTTATGTCTTAAATGGCCCTGTTTCTAATTCTTCCTGTTGCTGTTTGTGTAAAGTTAGTGTAGGAAGATAGAAAGTACCCTATCTTCTATCAGTGGTTATGAATCAAGTTTTTATTATGTATTTATTTCAACAAGGACCATGCATACAAATACATTAATCTCAGAAAAGAGAAGACATTTCCATCTGCAGTCCTGTTTGAAGTTTGATTTTAACGCTCAGCTGATAGGATCATGGTTTGTTCACAATATTTCAAGGATTCAGTGACATTTACATTTTTGATTTTCTGTGTTTTCCACAGGTGAGTCAGGTTTCCCCGGACTGATGGGCTTCCCTGGACTCCCGGGACGTCCTGGATCTTCTGGTTTTCCTGGAGGGAAAGGACAGCCTGGAGGACAGGGTAGAAACGGGCTCAACGGCGGCCCCGGGTACTCCGGACCGAAAGGTAAAGCATCCAGAATTAAGTAAGATAAGAGAAGATAAGATAAGATGGAACTCTATTTATCTCACAGTAAAAAGTTGTGCATTCGTATGAACATGTTAAATATATTTACATAAGTGTGCAGATGAGAGTGCAGGTTAGTAGTGTGTCACAAAAGGCCAAAAGCAGAGGAAATCAGCGGCCTTGTATAGCAGAGAAAATGAGTCTTTAATCTACTTAACATGAAGAAGAAATACTGATGATTACGACCAATAAGTGTGGTTAAAATGGCATTTTAACGAACTGAAGGACTCTCATAATGTGTGTTTTCCCTCCTTCAGGTGACAGAGGATACCCCGGCTCCCCTGGTCTGCCCTCCCCTCGGTTCAGATCAGAGTTAGTAGAAAAAGGAGAACCAGGAAACAACGGAGGCAGCAGCTTTCCTGGTTTCCCCGGACCCAGAGGTAGATCTACTTCCTGTTTATCTGTTATTGTTGACATCTGAGACACAGACAACGTGAACGTCTCCTCAAAGCTGCTTTTAAAGTATACATTTATATTGTGTGATTTATATTTTAAGTGTTTTTTTTTATACATTCTAAACCGGGTATGTTATTATTTATTTTTTATTTTTTAGGGGTTTTATATTCTTATTACTTTTTGTTATTATAATTTGAATTTTAGTATTATTATTACTATGTTTTTTGTATTATTATTATTATTATTATTGAATTATTATTATTATTATTATTATTATTATAACTATGTTTTTTGTATTATTATTACCGCTATTATTATTTTTCAATTTTAGGACGTTTTTATATTCTTATTAGTTTTTGTTATTATAATTTGAATTTTAGTATTATTATTACTATGTTTTTTGTATTATTATTATTATTATTATTATTGAATTATTATTATTATTATAACTATGTTTTTTGTATTCTTATTATTACCGCTATTATTATTTTTCAATTTTAGGACGTTTTTATATTCTTATTAGTTTTTTTATAATTGTTATGTATTTTTTTATATATTATTATTATCTGTATTTTTTTTTTAATTAACTGTATTTTTTATTATTTTAATATTTTTTTATTCTTATAATTGTTTTATTCTTATCACTATTATTATTTTTATTATTTCTAATGTTGCATATAATTATTATCTTAAATATTATTTGTAATTATTTGTATTTCATTATTATTATTAATATTATGTTTTTTTATTATTATTATTCTGATTATATCTGCCTCTGCTCTCAGGTGACAAGGGTTTCCCGGGTCAACCTGGTCGTCAGGGTCTTCCCGGACTTCCTGGTTACGCCGAACAGAGCAAAGGACAGCCTGGCGTACCTGGTTACCCCGGGCAATCAGGTACTCCAGGTTACCCCGGACCAAAGGGAGAATCTGGTATTATGGGATTCCCCGGCATGTCTGGACCGAGGGTAAGAAAACATAACTTGAAAAACTGTTTCTACCCATCTTTTTACATTTTCTTTCTACTTGAGATGATTTGATTTGATTTATTTCGAATGTGTAAAACAATCATAAAAACAAATAATAATAATAATGAAATGAAACATGAGAATTATAATACTACCCTTTAAGTTTATTTATTTATTTTTATTATATATACTATTTCAGCGGTTCCCAACCTTTTTCAACTCAGGGCCCACTTAAGAATAAAAAAAAATGTTGCGGCCCACATTCAACCATAAACAATATGGAGGCTAAATAAAGTTCTGATTGGTCAATTCAGAACATGTGATACGTTGTCAATCCAGTAGAACAGACCGCTGTCAAGGACTGTAATGACCGTTGCTAAGGAGGATCAAGAAAGAGAAAGGAAAAGGGGTTAAAATAAAAAAAAATCTTTATAATGAAATGTTTCCACACAAATCATAATGTTTTGCAAATTATTTGGTGGCCCACTTGCAATGCCTTTGCGGACCACTAGGGGGTTGGGAACCGCTGTACTATTTTGTATGTTCTTTCCCACTATGACTATGTATGTCATGAAGTATGGTATTCCTGTCATGCTATGTGTTTTCTCTATTATTTCTTGTTGTCTTCTATGTTGATAAAGAGAGGCATGATTTACACCCCAAAGAAGTCTGTACTATTGCTTAAAAAAATATTTGAAACAGAGAATTATTATACTAAACAAACTTAAGCAAATTGATAAACAAAAATATTACTGACTTACAAATTATATGTAAACAAATGAATACCTAATAATTACACATCCGAAAAGGGGTGGGAAGAAGTTTACACTTATTTAATCCCACCCCTTCTCCCAAAAACTAAATTACTAACATATATATATTTAGTTTTTGCTTAAAAATATATATTTCGGGTCTCCACGTGGTCTGTGTTTTGTTTTTGTGTTAACCTTACATTTCTGCCTCATGTCATTTTAACTATTGTTCTTTCTTGTGAAGCACTTTGTGAATTGTATTTCTGTGAAAGGTGCTATACTAAATAAACGTATTATCATGATTATTATTACCAATGAGACTCACTGATTGGGTGCTTTCAGGGTGATGACGGCACACCTGGTTTCAATGGAAATCCTGGAGAAAATGGCCGACCAGGAGGCAAAGGTGAGCGCACGCTAAAAAAACACCAATCATATGTGTTTATGAAAGTGTAAATGCAGACTTTGACTCACGTGTTTTGTTCCTCAGGTTCTCCCGGAGAGAGCTATGGTTATCCCGGAAGATCGGGAGCTAAAGGACAACCCGGAGATTCAGGTTTCCCAGGTAACACCCACTATTTTGATTTTAAGACTGTTATTACCAATAATAGCTCCTATACCCTGCTTTTCACCTACCAAAAGATTGTTATTCACATTTCCGCATAGTAGTAAAAAGAAAAGTAGCTAACTCCCTAACTGTGTGCGGACTTGTACTGTTTTTATTCCCTTTTTTTTTGCTTATATTTAAACCATAATTGCTTCTTTTAATATATCCCTTTTCTACCAGAATACATTTGGTATTCCCAGGTTTTATAAGCAAGAAATGTACATTATCATATACAGTGTTTCACTCGTTTTAAGACATCTCATTCATTCCCAAAAAGATGTATTTCACACCATATTGATGTCTCTCTTCAGGCGGTCGTGCGAATGACGGCGCTCCCGGTGACAACGGTTTCCCAGGAGGTCCAGGCTACCCCGGATCAAAGGGAGGTCCAGGTGATGGAGGCCGGCCTGGAATAATGGGTAAGAGATAAAAACGCTGAGATGACAAACTGATTTTTAAGAAACTAGTAAAAATCACATTCTTAATAAAATAATTACTTTCTGTCCTTTTTAATGTCCTATCTTGTCGTCTTCTTTCCTTTCCTTTCCTTTCCTTACCTTTAATTGTATTTCCTTTCCTTCTGAAGCCTCTTTCCTTACCTTACCATCCCATCCCTTTCCTTCCCTCTCCTTTCCTTTCCTTCTTTTCCGAAACTTCTGTCCTTTATTTTGGTTAACTTCTTACCCTAATTTTCTTTTGTTTCCTTTACTTCCTATCCTATCCTGTTCTTCCTTTCCTCAAACCCAATTTCCTTTCCTCTCCTATCCCTTCTTTTTCTCAGCCTGATCCCCTTTAGTTTCCTATTTCCTTTCACTGTATCCTCTCGTCCTGTCCGACCCCTCTCCACTCCTGTCCTTTCCTTTCTTTTGATTCCCATCCTCTCCTCTACTGTCTACATCCCACATTTTTAAGAAACGAGTAAAAATCACATTCACAGGAGGCTAGATGTTAACATTTCACCTCCTTTCCTCTGCAGGCTCCCCTGGTTTCCCCGGGCCAAAAGGTCAGTCTGGATATCCAGGAAGATCAGGAGCAGACGGGACTCCTGGACCTCCTGCTGGGCCTGGAGGTCCCGGAGCCAAAGGTGAGACGATTATTACACTTTCTTTCAAGACTGTACTGAAGAGTTTGAAGCTTCAGTGATAACGCTAACATTCAAATGTGCGTGTGTGAGGCTAGGGCAGGAACGCTTAGCTTAGCTTAGCTTAGCTTAGCTTAGCATAAAGGATGAACACTGGGTTAAAAGGCTAGCCAAGCTCCGTCCAAAGATTAAAAAAGTTCTGCAAAAGCTTCAATAATATAAGAAATGTGTTATAAAATGTTAAATATTTAGCTTTTGAGATACTTGTTGGTTGATTTTGTTGCTTTTGGTAAGCATGTAGGTTATCCGTTTCCCCCTGTTTCTCGTCTTGATGCTAAACTAAGCTAAGAAATACACCGGCATAGCAAAGCAGTAAATTATCAGCGTTTTTATACAGTGTGATTAACAAGCAAATGTTTTTCTATATACTAAAAGTTATATGTAAAATCTTATGAATATTTATTTTTTGTTTATGAAGGACCTAGCTAAGTAAAGTACAGTTTATTTAGTGTGTTTCCTGAGGAGTTTGACGCTTCAGTGATAACGTTGACATTTAAATGTGAATTTTTCAGGTTTTTGTGGCAGGTTTATTTCACCTTAATTCGGTTTTAACTCGGTATTTTGGCATTTGTAGGATTAGATTCCAGTGGTTGTTTCTTAGGATTGTTTCTCACTTGTTTAATTCAAACATTTCCAATTACTCCAGAGCGTTGTAAAGACCATAAGTCAAAAATGTACTGGGGCTCAGTACTGGCTGCAGTTGCGCCGAAAAAAAGTTGTATGCCAGCTTAAAAAAAGCACAGATCATTTCCAATACTCCTATGTTTTAATGTCACCAAATATTCAGTTTCAATCCATTGAGTGTTGGCATATAAGTGGATACAAATTGGAACTGGACAGTACATTTCTTGCACTAGTTTATCTGTTTTATTTGTTCTATGTCCTATATATATGTCGCACTGTTAGAGGAGCCTGAGACCTACGTTTTTCATTGCCATATCTACACTGTAGCTAATGTGCAAATGACAATAAAAGCCTTGAAACTTTAAACCTGAAACGTATTACCCCAGTATGAACAAACCCTCGCTGTTGTTTTTGTGCAGGTTTACCTGGATCCCCTGGTTTGGATGGTCTTAATGGCCTCGCTGGACCTAAAGGCCTCCCAGGAACACCAGGTGGGAACGCTGGAGGTCGTCCAGGAGCTTCCGGTATTCCCGGTCTGAAGGGAGAGAGAGGATCCGCCTACCCCGGGGTACCAGGATACCCCGGAGCCAAGGGAGAGAGAGGAGACCAAGGTGAGCTTCACGGGAATTAAAGGTCACCTATTATGCAAATTCCACTTCTTCACGTCTCTCCTTCATCAACATGTGTCCCCTCTGTGGAAAGAGACTCTGAACGTTTCAGGAAAAAAGATTCTCTCTCTTTTTGTCCTGATCCATTTATATAAAAACCTGTCTGAAAATGAGCTGATCAGATTTTGGACACTTTATGATGTCATAACGATTTTTGGCTTGAGTAACAATTAGCCAATCAGCAACCAAGGTAACCCCCCCCCCCCACCTTATCACCTGAATCTCCTCCTAGAGCACCATTAGACACTTTCACACCGGAGTACTTTTCCCCGAACTTTTCCCGTTTAGTTCCGATAGTTCCTGGGATTTTGCGTTAACACCAAAAAGAGAACTTAGTTCATGAGAACTTTTACCCCCTTTTCAGTCCCTGCTAGAGAGGTGGTACTTTCCTGCGGAGAAAAAAGTTCCAATTTCTGATTGGCTGGGCGAATTGCAAACCACGCCCCGTAAAACTCTGAAAGGTTTTGTGAAGCCGCCATTGTATTTGCTGGCATTAGCGTTATTAGCATTAGCATTAGCCCCGCGCACCAACGGAGAGAGAATAACTTATGGCAACACAAAAGAAAACATGGGAGCGGTGGAGTGATGAGGAGGTGTCGGCGTTCTGGCGATTTACTCGGAAGGCTTCAGTAGAAGCTGCTGGGAGTCCCAGCAGCTTCTACTGAAGCCAGTCCCCAACTCCGGGGACTTCCGGCCCGGGACTTCGGGTGGCAGTATACGCCGTGAAGTTGTTTGCTGCCTGCCAGTAAACCCAAAGCAAAAGAAGAAGAAGTGACGTCAGCGGCTTCATTTGCGTAATCTTCCCTCAGGGACTTATTCCGGTGTGAACGCGATCTACTCTTTAGTTCCATGGGGGCACTAAGTGCTGGGAACTAAGTGCTGGGAACTAAGTGCTGGGAACTAAGTGCTGGGAACTAAGTACGGCAAAGTACTTGGTGTGAAAGCGGCTATTGTGTTCTTTTTAACCAAATCTCTCTCAGAGGGGTGTGGGGAGTGGCTCCTTATTTTCATCTAAAGTAACAGACAGAGAATCAGCACTTTTGAAACAGGGCTGAAACAGAGGGGATTATGGGATGCTGCAATGATCTGTTTGGTGTTTCAGACAAACACTTCAGAGACATGTTCTGTATATATCTGAGACCTATAATATATTGATAAAAACAGTATAATAGGGGACCTTTAAAGAATATAGAGTATGAATTAGCTAATATAAAAATATCAAAATGGTTTGTTATTATTTGTGTGTGTCAGGTGGTCCCGGACGCTCAGGGTTCCCCGGTCTTCCCGGACCCCCCGGTCCCACGGTGGGATCAGACGTTCACGGACCTCTTGGAGACCCAGGACTCCCTGGACTGGATGGAGAATTTGGTAAATACATTTACTTTCTGTCCTTTTTAATGTCCTATCTTGTCCTCTTCTTTCCTTTCCTTTCCTTCTTAAGCCTCTTACATTTCCTTCCCTTTCTTTTAACCCAATGTCCTTTAATTTTGTTGTGTGTCCCTCCTTTCTCTTAACCCAATTTAATTTCCTTCCCTCTCCTGTCCTTTCTTTTTCTCAACCTGCTTTCCTTTCTTTTGATTTACTTCCTTTTCTAAAACCAATTCCCCATCCTCCCCTCTACTGTCCCATCCTATCCTGTCCTTTTCTTTCCTTTCCTACCCTCTCCTTTCCTTTCCTACCCTCTCCTTTCCTTTCTTTTCCGACACTTCCTTCCTTTATTTTGATTTACTTCTTACCCTAATTTTCTTTAGTTTCCTTCAAGCCTGTGACACAAGATTTTCATCGACATAACTACACTGTAGCTATGTTCGTATGACAAATAAAGAACCTTGAACCTTTACTTTCTTTTGATTTACTTCCTTTCCTCAAACCCAATTTCCTTTCCTCTCCTATCCTTTGCCTTTTTTTTCTCAACCCGTTTCGTTTCCTATTTCCTTTCACTGTATCCTCTCGTCCTAACTCCTCTCCTTCTCTCCTCAGGTTTCCAGGGTCCTCCAGGTCCTCCCGGTCCTCCTGGTCCCGGCACAGCTCAGGGAGACCGAGGAGACCCTGGACTCCCAGGTTTCCCAGGATCCCCCGGGAGAAAGGGAGACTCTGGTTTTCCCGGAGGCCCCGGACTCCTCGGAAGCCCCGGGTTCAAAGGTCAGTGAAGCTCCGATTGGCCTGTAAACAATATGAAATAAACCCCAAAAAAAAGTGTTTAAGACAAATGTTTTGGGGTGTTTTTTAGGAGGAATAGGAGAGAGCGGATACAGCGGAGGTCCTGGTCTGAAGGGCTATCCCGGTGATTCTGGATATTACGGAAACAAAGGAACCAAGGGAGTACGAGGTAAGAGGACTTAAAGGGGACCTATCATGCAAAATGCACTTTTGTACGTCTTTTATACATGAATATGTGTCCCCGGTGTGTCAGGGAACTCACCAAGTGTCCGAAAACAGAACCCTCTCTCTTTTCCTCCATACCCAAATCTCTAAAAACGGGGCTGCAACGGAGCTGATACAGATTTGAAATTGTTCTGACGTCAGAAACAGGGAGCTCCGCCTATATGGGCAACTCTCCACCTATCAGGGGAATGGGGGGTTGGGCCACGGCCGGCCATTGCTGCTCGAAAGCGCTGGAGACGCTGTAGTACATATGCCAGGCCTGTAAGTGGCGCTGTAGTCTTCCACAAAAGCAGCGAAGAAGACTTCTCACAGAATCAGCCCTTGCAAAAACAGGGCTGGCAAAGAGCAAATAGAGCGAAATGAGGCATGGCTAAAATGCATGATCTGAAAAAAAAACTTCACAGACATGTTTTATATAGGTATGGCCCTACAATATATTATTCAAATATAGCATGATAGGTCCACTTTAAATAAGAAGTTAAGATAAGTTAAAGGTAGGGTAGGTAAGTTTGAGAAACCGGCTCGAGATACACTTGTTGTTATATTCCATGGAATGCTCTTAACATCCCGATAGCAATGAATATCTGAAGTGCTTTGACAAAAAATCCATAAAGAAATGTCATCTGTGGAAGCCGTAGTACTGTAAAAAGCACGACCAATCATTTGAGCCGGCCCGGCTAAAATAACTGGATGGCCTACCTGCCTGTCAGCCTTCCATCTGTGCACAAACTTATCTCGTGCCCTCATTGGTCATGTGCGCGTTCGTGTGTGTTGGAGGAGGGGCTCTGTAAGGAAGTGGCAGATTTTCTCCGGTTGTGTATTTTCAAATTCTAGCGATGTCGAGCTGGTTTCTCAAACTTACCTACCCCACCTTTAAGATAAGATAAGTTAAGCCGCTTTCCCCCTACGTTTTCGTGTTGTTGTTTTTTTGTTTTGTTCTTTCCGTTAACTGTCAAGTGGGAACTAAGTATTTTTTTGTACGTTTTTGTGTTAATTAAAAAAGGTCCATCTTATCTTATCTTCTTTCCTCCTCTTTCTCCATCCCTTCCTCTCCAGGACGTTCCGGTCGTAAGGGAGCCCCCGGATCCACGATTCAAAGTATACCGCAAGACATAGACCGACCCTACGGAGAAATTGGTTACCCCGGAGGAGGAGGCGGAAGCGGGACTCCTGGAGTACCCGGACAGCCGGGACTCCCCGGACGTTCAGGTGAGGAATCACACAGACCAGATCTTTGTTTTTGTTACCATTTTTTCTTTTTAGTGATCACATTTTTATTGAGATTAATGTACAACGTTTTTTTCTTCTTTTTTTAAAATAAAACAACTAAAAGTACATAATAAAAATAAAATTTAGGCAACAGCAATTACTTACAAAACATACAAAATGCAGAATACAGAATACATATGTAAGCCAAAAATAATAATAATAATAATAATACAGACAAACAGAAATAAAATAAAAACAAAATAAAACAGATTTTTGTTACCATTAATGACAAAAAAACGATACATTTTTTAAGAAAAACGCCAAAAATGATACCTAAATGACAAGAAAACATCAGGTTTCGTTCTCATTATTTGGTTAAATACAGTTTAGTATTTAGTGATGGTTAGATGAGAAGATGTATTTCACTCTGAAGTCTGTGTGTGAGTTTATGGCGGGAAGACTTAGCTTAGCTTAGCTTAGCTTAGCGTTAAGGATGAAAACTGGGTTAAAAGGCTAGCCAAGCTCTGTCCAAAGATTAAAAAAGTTCTCCAAAAACTTCAATAATACAATAAATGTATTATAACATGTTGAATATTGAACTTTTGAGATGCTTGTTGGTGTTTTTTTTTTGCTTTTGGTAAGGATGTAGGTGATCTGTTTCTCGTCTTCATGCTAAGCTAAGCTAAGAAATACACTTTACTGGCATAGCAAAACTGTTCACCAGTAAACAATCAGTGTTTTTATATAGTGTGATTAACAAGCAAATGTTTTCTATATACAAACATTTATATGTAAACCCTTATGAATATTGTTTTTTTGTTTATGGAGGACGTAGCTAAGTAAAGTACAGTTTATTTAGTGTGTTTCCTGTTCAGCAAAACAGCTTCAACTTCAATACTATAAGAAATGTGTTGTAACATTTTATATATTCAGCTTTTAAGATACTTGTTGGTGGATTTTGTTGCTTTTGGTAAGGATGTAGTTGATCTGTTTCCACGTGTTTCTCGTCTTCATGCTAAGCTAAGCTAATATGAATAAAAAAACTGCTCTCTGGACTTTTTGTTGACCCTTGAGTGAACGTGTGTCCTGCTTTAGGGTCTAAGGGTCGTCCCGGTCCTGGAGGTAAACTGGGCCAGACTGGACCTCCTGGTTACCCCGGATCTATCGGTGAGGCCGGATCCCCCGGTTTCCCCGGAACCGCTGGAGAACAAGGTCAGACATCAACATGCTATGATAAACTTCTAAATATGCTATTTTAACCCAGAAATCTCCCCCATGCAAATACCTGGACTCTTTCTAAGTTAGTGTTAGGAAAATATCACTCGTCACCGGCTTGAGCTTCAATCTCAGGATCCATGTATTTCTGATCCTCTCAAGAATGGAAGTAGTCATCACATACAGAGCATCAACTAGTTCCTGAACAGTGTCCTTCACATGCTGATATCCAAGAGAGGGAGTTACACAGTCACAAGATGGAGGAATAGAAAGCAGTATTCAATGTTTACTTCAGATTAGCTCCACGTCAGAAATGAGCATGCTTGTCATATGTCTATCTCCATAGAGGCTGAATCATCATGTTAATCACATAGCTATCATATGCCTCAAACAGTCCTGATGCTCTTCTAGGTAATCATACATCCTGTCATGTACACAGCTACAGTTGGGATACCTTTGTTATCATGTGGACTCTGATATTGGAAGAGGACATTCACTATTTTCCCAACAGTTAGCATGTGAAACAAATCTCTTATTTCTTCTTGTTGTCTCGTCCTCCAGGCGCCACTGGGTCCGCGGGTCGCTCCGGACCCCCCGGGGCTGTGGGTCGTGGCTCAAGCATTGGATACACCCTGGTGAAGCACAGCCAGAACGCCCAGGTGCCCATGTGTCCTCAGGGCATGGCCAAGCTGTGGGACGGGTACAGCCTGCTGTTCGTGGAGGGCCAGGAGAAGGCTCACAACCAGGACCTCGGTACGGGAAAAACGTTTAATATTCAGTCGCTAACGTGATGCTACAGAGGTTTGAAGGACTGTTACCTTCATCTACCTTTGATTTGTGAGCTGCTACATCCTGTCTGCACTTTTCACGATGGAAGCTTTTACCTAAATTACCAAAAGTAATAAGATTCATGAGCGTACTAAAGACAAGACGAGAATAGTTTTTTACTTTCAGCTCAAAACATCATTTTTTTACATCTTACATCTAAAACGTGACACTTTGAGTGTTGGATGTTAAAATCTTGCTTAACTTAAAATGTTTTTTACACAAAGCTACAGTGTAGAAAGGGCAATGACATTCTTCTGACCTGAGCTCCTCCAATAATGCAACATATATAATAAAATACAAAATAAAAAGTAGTGCAAAATCACTCATTGTCAGAGATGGCGAAAGTACACACATCCTTTACTCAAGTAGAAGTACAGATACTCGTGTTTAAAAAAACTCTGGTAAAAGTAGAAGTACTGACTAAACTTCTTTACTCAAGTAAAAGTAAAGACTTTGAAATGTACTTAAGTAAAAAGTACCCATAACTAGCAGCTGTTTTAAAGAGTACCTGACCTCCCTTTATATCAATAGAACAATAATGTCATTGTTAGCTAATGAATGTTTCCATGCTGAACAACGGCAACATGACAACGTTTTCATTGGTCCCTCTTCTTTAGAGAAGACCAGGAAATGATGGATACATGGATCGTGTTCAAATCAATAGGCACGCAATGACTCTAAATAATAATGATCACGCCACCAAACACACATTCAAACTAAAGGAACCAGCCTGTTTGGAAAATGTAAGAAGTAGAAAGTACAGGTATTTGTGTTCAACATGTAAGAAGTAGAAAGTACAGGTATTTGGGTTCAACATGTAAGAAGTAGAAAGTACAGGTATTTGAGTTCAACATGTGAGAAGTAGAAAGTACAGGTATTTGAGTTCAACATGTAAGAAGTAGAAAGTACAGGTATTTGTGTTCAACATGTAAGAAGTAGAAAGTACAGGTATTTGTGTTCAACATGTAAGAAGTAGAAAGTACAGGTATTTGTGTTCAAAATGTAAGAAGTAGAAAGTACAGGTATTTGTGTTCAACATGTAAGAAGTAGAAAGTACAGGTATTTGTGTTCAAAATGTAAGAAGTAGAAAGTACAGGTATTTGTGTTCAAAATGTAAGAAGTAGAAAGTACAGGTATTTGTGTTCAACATGTAAGAAGTAGAAAGTACAGGTATTTGTGTTCAACATGTAAGAAGTAGAAAGTACAGGTATTTGTGTTCAAAATGTAAGAAGTAGAAAGTACAGGTATTTGGGTTCAACATGTAAGAAGTAGAAAGTAAAATAATCCACCTCTGCACTGTTGGAGGAGCCTGTGACTTCAGTTTTTCATTGCCTACACTGTAGCTACTGTGCTAATGACAATAAAGCCTTGAAACATATCACTCATGTTCTCCCCTCTCTCCCTCTCTCTCTGCAGGTCAGCCGGGGTCTTGTCTCCCCCGCTTCAGCACCATCCCCTTCCTCTACTGCTCCCCCAACGAAGTGTGTTACTACGCCTCTCGAAACGACAAATCCTATTGGCTCTCCACCAGCGCTCCCATTCCCATGATGCCCGTTGCCGAGCAACAGATCCAGCAATACATCAGCAGGTACTGGCCCTCGTTCAGGACTGCAGGATTCATACATTCACAAACTAAACACCCTGAAACTAATCCTAACTGTATTTCCCACCAACGTATGCTGGAGCAAAAGTCTCTACGTATTTTCTGTCTATAAAAGTAGAATTTCTTGCCGTTTTTATGACAGAAATTACGTTTTTTTTACACTGCGGTGTAGACGAAAGCTACGTGGTGACTAACTAAAACAATAATTGCCTCTCTCATGTCCTTATTCTCCAGGTGTTCAGTGTGTGAGGCTCCCTCTATGGCTGTAGCCGTGCACAGTCAGGATCTGAGCATCCCCACCTGCCCCCCCGGCTGGAGGAGTCTCTGGATCGGATACTCCTTCCTCATGGTAAAACAAAGACTATCAATAACTCACAATACACCCTAAAAATCACATTTAGACGTGTTTTAGTGAGATAAGGTAAATAGGAAAGCGTTTTCTTCATATATGTTCACATTTTTTGTGTAGTTTGAGGGCCTCAAGGGTCTTAGCTATCTGTACAGAATGCAGACAGAATTGATTGACATAACCACACTGTAGCTAATGTACAAATGACAATAAAAGCCTTGAATTTAATCAATACTAAATGTCCCCTCTCCGTGCAGCACACAGCAGCAGGATCTGAAGGTGGCGGTCAGTCTCTGAATTCCCCCGGTTCTTGTCTGGAGGATTTCCGCGCCACGCCGTTCATCGAGTGCAACGGAGCCAAGGGATCCTGCCACTTCTTCGCCAACGAATACAGCTTCTGGCTCACCACCGTGCAGCCGGGCACGGAGTTCCTCTACTCCCCCGGACAGGAGACCCTGAAGGGCGGCCAGGAGAGATCCAGAGTCAGCCGCTGCCAAGTCTGCAGCAAGCTGTTGTAGTATCAACACCTTCCGAGGAGAACAAGAGGCGTTAAAGGTCCCCTATTATGCAAAATCCACTTCTTCATGTCTCTTCTACATCAACATGTGTCCCCTCTGTGGAAAGAGACTCTGAAAGCTTCAGGAACAAAGATTCTCTCTCTTTTTGTCCTGATCCATTTATATAAAAACCTGTCTGAAAATGAGCTGATCAGATTTTGGCCACTTTGTGATGTCATAACGATTTTTTGGCTTGTGTAACCATTAGCCAATCACCAACCAAGGTAACCCCCCCACCTTATCACCTGAATATCCTCCTAGAGCACCATTGTGTTCTCTCTAACAAATCTCTCTCAGAGGGGCGTGGGGAGGGGCTCCTTATTTTCATCTAACGTAACAGACAGAGAATCAGCACTTTGGAAACAGGGCTGAAACAGAGGGGATTATGGGATGCTGCAATTTTGGTGTTTCGAGGCAAACACTTCAGAGACATGTTTTGTATATATCTGAGACCAATACTATATTGATGAAAAACAGTATAATAGGTGACCTTTAAGGAGGAGAAAATCTATAAAAGAACACTGACTGAAAAAGAAGCCCCTCTCTCCTGCTTCTCCAAAAACAACATCAGAGTTTTAGGAATGAATTGCTTATTAAAAATGTTTTAAAAAAAGGAGCGTGTAGGAGGGAGGAAATGGAAAGAGAGGAACTGCATATGTGGTGGTTCTTCTCCAGATCATCACCGACAATGGTGCTATTGTGTATGTGTTTATTTTGTGTCTGTTTTGGCGAGGGTCATTCTCGGCTACCTCGGAGAGTGCCAACCCACTTTGGATAGCACCGATTACACCAAATGTGCTCCAGATGAATCAGTTTTCAAGTCAGTTTTGTTAGAAAGTTGGTTGGAAGTAAAGTCTTAATTTCTGTGAACTGATCCAACTGAAGTCAAATCACCTGATTCCTGTTCAAAAACGCCTTTTTAGTGAATTAGCCGCCATAAAACGTTGCTTTTTTATTTATTTACTGCCCTCTGCACCTGCTTTAAATGCTCATAGATTACATTAAGAGAAACAACCAATTTAAATATTCTCGCAAAAGAGGTTTTTATTCGTATGGAAATCAAATAACCCCAGACACGTTTTAAGGCAGAAAATAACCAGATTTATCCAAATTCTTTCGATAATGTCCACGTTTGCTCATTTGATTTGATCGTCTATCAACACAACAACTTATGTTTCAACCAAACTCCAATATCGCAGCTTCAAAGTAAGCGTTTTCAGACAATAACGGTACGTCCACACGGCAGCGTTGCATTTTAAGCTTGCCGGTGGGCGTGTCTGGCGTGCGACCAACAACCAATCACATTAATCTCCCGCCCCGGACACACAAGCACGCGGCGGTTTGATTGGCTAGAGCTTGTACTGGCATATGATTTGATTGGCTGACGCTTCCGTCGACGCTTGAAAAGTTCTCAACTTTCCAAGCGAGCAACGGAGGCAAAGCGACGCGTGACGCCACCCCCATTCAAAGTGATGGGAAGCGTCTCCGTTGAAGCTGTGTGGACGTACCGTAACATGTTCTGTTTGACGTTATTATCAGCGCTTTCTACAGTCAGATTTTCATAGTTTACAGGAATGATCTGTAACTTGGCGACCTGGAAGTTAGGAAATATAAACGTGTAATGTATCACGAGCTTGTAAGATCCTTCTTTTCTGGAAATAATAGTTAAAAATGAGATTTTATAAGTAAAGTCCACCTGCTAGTGAAGCTAGTAAGTGGAACTTGAGTTAAAGTTCGCAATTTGCCGTTGCCGTTCAAAATCATGCAAGAAAATGCTTTTGCAGTCGTTTTAAATTCACATTTTTCCTGTTTTATACGCCTTTTATATCTGTTCATTTCATTATGGTGCTACAATAACCTGACAGCTGACTTGAAAGACAACTTTTTAAGACATTAAACTGAATGCATTTCAAGGAATAAGCAACACTTTTCCTCTAAATTGCTAAAAACAACTGTAGTTATAATTGATATATCTTCTATATATTGCACTGATGGGTTAGAATAATCGACAAAATCCACCTTCATCTTTCTGTTGTGACCAAACTAGTGTTTTTCTTTTTAAATCACCCCAACCAAACACACTCTCTGATAGATTTTGAATTATTGCTGTACATAGTGCTTTACTGTATTTCCCACCAAAGTATGCAAAAGTCTATAAAGCTTTTATGTTTTTTTTCCCTGTCTGTATCTTTCGTCTGTCCTTGTATAAGAAATAGGAAGAAATACGTTTTTTCTGTCTATAAAAGTAGCCGTTTTTATGACAGAATTTACGTTTTTTTTTACACTGCGGTGTCGATGTAATCTCATTATCGTTGGACGTTGAAAGCTTCTGGGTGACTTGTAACCACTATGACCACTGTTTCTAGCACATAGCGCTGTCTCTCTGCTGGTAGCCCTGATGTTACTACGATGTCACATTGTGTCAGTCTTTGTGGTTTTGTAATCTAGATTGTAATTATTTTACCTAAATCATGATACTATCCCCTGGTTTGTATTTACTGAGTTGGGAGGGAATGGGAAGATAATGATGTGTACATTAAATATTATGAGGAAACAAAACAAAATGCCTTTAGGATTGTGTTTTTATATGGAAAATATATTCGCCACTGATGATTTAACAGACCCCCGAACAACCGTCTGTTTTGGTCTTTACCCCCATTTTCCAAACAAACGTGGTTTATGCCTGGAGTGACAGAGAAGAAAGCAGTTTTCCTCAAAGAGGATCGATCACGATAACATGGTAATGACATGTCTGTTACTGTAATGTGTATTTCTGTGCTCACACACTTAAATAAAGTCTCTAAACTAACTGAGAATATTCATTGAAGATGGTTTTGTTGGTAAAAAAACGAGGTATTTCAGGTCTTTTTACGTGTGAACTCCACTGAGAAGATTGCAGGTCTTGTGAAGAAGATGTTTGCTTTGTGCTTGGAAAACCAAATTAAAAACATTTCCACCTTGTTTGAAACATATACACGTATTGCCTTGTACAACTAAGAAGACCCCTAACTTAACTTATCCCTAAGTATTGCACATAAATGAGTAGAAAATACACAATTATACAATATAAACATCTCAAAATAGCAGATTAAACATAAATGAACGAGTGAAATTATAATAGGTGACTATGAATATAAAAAATATGTAAACTATCTGACAACTAAAACACTATTGAAAAATATTTGTGCACTAAATGATAGAATTATATAATATATATTTCCTATTGTCTTTTTTAAATTATTATTACTTTCTTTATTCACTGTTTCTCACATCTTTCATTTATCATATATACTCTACAAACAATCCCAGGCCGTGCATGATTCAGATATAAAAACAATTTAATATACATAGTACATATATAATTAATAAACAAAACATACAAGTTAAAAGCCAAGTAGTGGAAGCAAAATATATAATAAAAATAGTGGTCAAACATGGTCTACAGTGAATTTAAAAAGTAGTAGGTGAAGCAAACATGAATATTGAAGTATGTTAACACCTGAACTCCTAAAAAACTGTATAAACAATACACTTTTTAATTGATTTAGACCAAAAAACGATAATGAGTGTATTAAAATTGAACTGTAATGACACCTCCATGACAGCAGGGGGCGACAGAGCCCTTCCTTAGCAACAGAGGAATCACAGCATAACAACAACACAGCTGCTAACGTTAGCTCGAAGAGGAGCGGAGTGTATTTTTCTGCTAATTGGGAACTTATCAACAGGTGAGTCTCACACCTGACAGCCCAAACAATGTATAACATACGTGTTCACCTCATGTGCATGTTCCTATAATCGTTAAATTACACGTTAATCTGCTTCAGAAGTGTGTAAAATGGTTAGCTTTGAAGCTAGCATTAGCTCCGCTAGCTCACTAATAACTAGCATCACCTACTAACGTTTTATTTCTGTTTAATATCAAATGTTTCAGCGTGAATAAAGACAAATATTGCTTAAAGTTAAATGTGTAACAGTGGTCAGCTAGTTGATGCTACAGTTAGCTAGCTTTTCCACCCCTTCATTTTCTATTTTAAAGAGTTATTACAGGGTTGCCAACTTTGGGTACCTGGCTGGAGTGAGATTTTGATATCATGGGTTTAATTCGGTTTAATTACACATATGCGCACGAAATGACTGCTATCGTGTCAGCAGCGGGACCTTAGCATATATATATAGGATATATATACAATATATACAAATACACAATAATGGACACAGACTATAAAGGGCACACAGTTTCATTCACTAATGAAAGTCAAACATGTTTGTTTCCACTGTTTTATTGTATGCCTGTCGCGATAAGCAATTTAATTGACTTATCGTACGATAAATAAAAATGAACTCGATAACTTTTCTGACCTCGATACATTTCCATTTACATGAGGATGTGACTAGCAGTTTGAAAGGATGTACTTGAATTATTATTATATATTATCATTATGTCAGTGGTCTAAAATGGTCATACAACGGTGCCGACAATATTATCGTTCATCGCAATAATTTCCGGGAAAATGTATCCAACAAAATTAATTATCGTGAGAGGCCTATACATGAAACACACACACACAAACAAATCTACAGACTTACTCCAAACTGCCAAATATATTAATTAACACACTCTCACTCTCATATACTCTTTGACTCTATTTTGGCCTAGTAGAACAATAAGCAGCAGACTTTTACTTTTTTATCATTTCTACTGGATCTTAGATCTGCGCATGCGCTCTAGAGTATTTTTGTTGGGTAATCTATGGTAGGGCTAACCCATACAGTGGTGGGGCTCAAGTCAGTATTTGCAATGTAATTACATACACGCTCCCCCCGACAGTGAAACGCCACGCGTGAGGTTTAGATTATTTCCCTGTCTCAATCCAAATTGAACTGTATGAAATAAAAAGGCACATTTGTCTTGTAGTAAATAAAAAGGGCGACCTGGAGCCAATCCTGCAATTTCCCCACAGGTGAAAGAGTTGACCTGCTGAAAACCCAACCCCTGCAGGGGGGTCTGGGGGATTCTCCCCCAGGAGATTTTTTGAAATACTAACATAAAATACACATTCTGGTACTCTCTTGAGAAGAAAAATAAATAAATCTATTACTACACATTTAAAAAAATGAATGCCATATTAGTTTTTTGTTACTTTGTTCTGAAAGCTGAACCTGCTGCAGCAGTGCTGCTCCTCACAGAGAGAAGAGGGAAGAGGCTGTGTGAATTACTTTACATTGTGGATAAGGGTGGATAGCCCCCATTGTTCTGTGTGTCAAAATGAAAGACAGCCCACACACCTATCAATCATCAAACCGTGGGGTCTTATTTCATTACGTGTTGATTTCTATCAACACGTAATGTTGTATCGATGTAAAGAGATGTACTACCGCAAAAGTATTCTCCGTCGGGACTTCCTGCAACAACACCACGCCGTTATCGTGATTCTGATTGGCCAGAAGACATTATCAAAGATGTTCTATTGAGAAGACGATCACTACGTGACAAAAGTTTTCAAAACCGTTTCTAGTCTTCGTATTCTTGTTTTTGGCGTGAGAATAGTTTGGGCAGCGTGAGAGCGTGAGATTGAGAGTGAAAGCGTGTGTCACACGCCAGATGCGTGAGAGTTGGCAACCCTGGTTATTAGCTTCACGGACAGTGGCTAAAAGTGGTTTCTTGAGATGGTTTTGTAATTAAAAAGACATTTTATAGTGTTGCCTGCAGGGTTTATACTTATTTACGGTATCTATGGTTGATAGTGCCTTCATATCCTTACGCATCCATCTGTTTTTCATATATTTCATCATTACAATAAGCAGTATTTTATTCCTCTACATTTTCATTTCTGTTTTAGCTCGTATTTGACATGTATATAGTTAACTTCTCCTTCATGTAACTGCACATTGTTCACTTGGTCACATCCTTTGCACTATTATTATTGTTTTATGTCTTATATATTTATGTTGCATAGCCATATCCACACTATCCACTGTCAATAAAGCTTTTGAATCTTTGAATGTGACATAAGCTTATTATGCTCAGGAGAAAAGAGGCAACTACTTTACAGAGAAATACTCCAACATATATTCTTTTACCAAGTCTTGCTCCCGAAAGTGAACATTTGTGGAAAGTAACTAAGTACATTTACTGAAGTACTGTACTTAAGTACACATGTAAGGTACTTGAACTTTCCTCAAGTAGTTTCCTTTACTCTATACTTATACTGCAAAAAGGAATTGACAGACATTTTTTTAATTGTTTTTGGATTTACTTCACAGTCGTAGCTTCTCACGTTTTTAATGCTTATTATTTTAAATATTTATAATCTAGAGGGGTTTAAAGTACTTATTTTCCTAATACTCTAAGTACATTTTCCTGATCATACTTAAATTAATACTTGTATTACTTGTAATGGAGGAATTTTACAATACAGTATTAGTACTTTTACTTAAGTAAGGGACCTATAAACTTCTTCCACCACTGACTAGTGGACAGTAAGTTAAGGATAGAAAAAGTAGATATACCTCTTGAAGTTAAAAACATAAAAGAAGTATAAATGAAACCAAAGACACATCTAAATACAAAGTGACCAGTGGCGAGCCGTGAGCTTTATACCTAGGCCCTCTGACCCCCACCCCTTCCCTCGAAAAAAAGAAAAAAAAAGAGTTATTACGTCACAGCGTATACTTCAGCGGAATATCAAAACAACGGCCCAGGGTGCAAAACGCATCAATGACAGCGACCCTCTACCACACAAAACAACACCTGGGAACCCCATTTGTGTTCTTTGACATTGAAAATGATATTGCATTGTATTTGGCATGCTTTTATTTTGAAGGCGAGTTCACGCTGTTGACAGGAAGTTGTTGTTGCTATGGAAACAAGAAAAGTTTCACAGCGGGCGGAACTCGTCATAAAGTCCGCGATAATAAAACCCACCCATTTAGAGGGAAGATATGATTGGTCAATTGTACTGTCATTTGACATTACTCTCTCGTTCAGTTACTATAGCGGGCCCTCTGTGAATCGCAGAGAGGCCCGCTATAGTAACTGACATTCAAACAGAGACTGAACAGGCAGATTCGAAGGATTTATTTCTTTGGAAATGTTATTTTATTAAATCAAGTTTTTTTTCGGTAAAACTAATGAAAAATATAACAAAAATAATATTAAAAAAATATATATTTAAAAAAAATATATTTTTTTTTAATGTTTTTAAATATTATTTTTTGGAATATCTTAGGCCCTCACAGAGGGCCTAGAGGGCCCTGACGGCTCGCCACTGAAAGTGACAGTGATGTTATGAGTAGCAGTGTCAGTAAGCCCAGTATATATGCACCAGAATTACATATAATATGAGTAATAATGACATGTTGCGGTTAAGACTGTGATGAGATTATGCACATTTCCCAGAGACGAAATAACCATAAATGGTGGAAATTGCAGCAGGCTGGAACATTTAGTGCTGATAATCCACCTGCATTTAAATGATCCCTAGTTTCAATGACACTGAAACATATCTGTCGTGCCTTAGACAGACATTTCTAACTCGTTTTCTTTCCTTTATATTACTCACAGTTGAAGAGTTGCTTCATGGTTTGGATGATGTGTTTGCTCAAAATAAAAAAACACAAACTTTTATACATGCAACAAAGAAAAGAAGCCTTTACAATAGTCAAAACAAATAGGCAAAGCTAAAATAAAATAACAAACAACTTAGGTATTCTTTCTGGCTTGATACGGCTTATATTACTTGATAGCTTAAAGGGGGAATTGAACGGTTAAAAACTGTGTCTCAACGGGGTCTTTCCAGCTGGTTGCCCATCACTGTCACTTTTTAGAGGGAAAAATAGTCTTTTATAGTGTGTTGACTACAGACGTCACGATTAGGTGGCCTTTCTTTTTCAAAAACTAAACACTGGCTCTAACAATATCTCCTGTTCTCCTTTTTCCCTCAATGCAGGTACGCTGGAATTTTCTGACACCCACTCGGACATGTCCTATGTCTTCATCAACGACTCGTCGCAGACCAACGTGCCGCTGCTGCAGGCCTGCATCGATGGAGACCTGCCGTTCGCCAAGAGGCTCCTGGAGACGGGCTGCGACCCCAACATCCGGGACAAACCGGGGCCGCACCGGGCTGCACCTCGCCGCCGCCCGGGGCAACGTGGACATCTGCCGCCTGCTGCACAAGTTCGGAGCCGATCTGCTAGCCACCGACTATCAAGGGAACACCGCTTTGCATCTGTGCGGACACGTGGACACCATCCAGTTCCTGGTGTCCAACGGGCTGAAGATCGATATCTGGTAAGCAGAGTACACACATCCTTTACTCAAGTAGAAGTACACATACTCGTGTTTAAAAATACTCTGGTAAAAGTAGAAGTACTGACTAAACTTCTTAACTCTAGTAAAAGTAAAGAGGCTTTGAAATGTACTTAAATACATTTTTTATTTTTTTATTTTCTATTTTAATTTTGTAATCATTTCGCGACCCCCACTTTGGGAACCCCTGGTATAGGAGATATTATGTCAGTGTGTGTGTCAGAATCAGTCATTGTGCTCAATCGCTGTATCGCATGCTGTGTAGCTGTGGTTTCAATATCAGTAGAGTATCTAAGTATACACACTCATACATAGATTGTTCCGGGTAATAGAAAGGGAGAAACTGAACACAAGTGTGTGTGTGGGGGGTTTGTGTGTGGTGTGTGTGTGTGGTTTGTGTGTGTGCCTGGTGGGTGATGGCAGAATCAGTCATTGTGCTCAACTGCTGTGTGTGGTTAAGGGGCCCTATTATGTAAATTGTCTGCAAAGACTAAAATCCCAAAGTTCCCCCCCCAAATGAGTTTCTCTCCCACTCACACACCCCCCTCCTAGAGACACTACATACTGATATGAACCTGAAGATCAGCAGGATAGGACTCTTTAAAGTAGAGACACTACATACTGATATACACCTGAACATCAGCAGGAGAGGACTCTTTAAAGTAGAGACACTACATACTGATATACACCTGAACATCAGCAGGAGAGGACTCTTTAAAGTAGAGACACTACATACTGATATACACCTGAACATCAGCAGGAGAGGACTCTTTAAAGTAGAGACACTACATACTGATATACACCTGAACATCAGCAGGATAGGACTCTTTAAAGTAGAGACACTACATACTGATATACACCTGAACATCAGCAGGAGAGGACTCTTTAAAGTAGAGACACTACATACTGATATACACCTGAACATCAGCAGGAGAGGACTCTTTAAAGTAGAGACACTACATACTGATATACACCTGAACATCAGCAGGAGAGGACTCTTTAAAGTAGAGACACTACATACTGATATACACCTGAACATCAGCAGGAGAGGACTCTTTAAAGTAGAGACACTACATACTGATATACACCTGAACATCAGCAGGAGAGGACTCTTTAAAGTAGAGACACTACATACTGATATACACCTGAACATCAGCAGGAGAGGACTCTTTAAAGTAGAGACACTACATACTGATATACACCTGAACATCAGCAGGAGAGGACTCTTTAAAGTAGAGACACTACATACTGATATACACCTGAACATCAGCAGGAGAGGACTCTTTAAAGTAGAGACACTACATACTGATATACACCTGAACATCAGCAGGAGAGGACTCTTTAAAGTAGAGACACTACATACTGATATACACCTGAACATCAGCAGGAGAGGACTCTTTAAAGTAGAGACACTACATACTGATATACACCTGAACATCAGCAGGAGAGGACTCTTTAAAGTAGAGACACTACATACTGATATACACCTGAACATCAGCAGGAGAGGACTCTTTAAAGTAGAGACACTACATACTGATATACACCTGAACATCAGCAGGAGAGGACTCTTTAAAGTAGAGACACTACATACTGATATACACCTGAACATCAGCAGGAGAGGACTCTTTAAAGTAGAGACACTACATACTGATATACACCTGAACATCAGCAGGAGAGGACTCTTTAAAGTAGAGACACTACATACTGATATACACCTGAACATCAGCAGGAGAGGACTCTTTAAAGTAGAGACACTACATACTGATATACACCTGAACATCAGCAGGAGAGGACTCTTTAAAGTAGAGACACTACATACTGATATACACCTGAACATCAGCAGGAGAGGACTCTTTAAAGTAGAGACACTACATACTGATATACACCTGAACATCAGCAGGAGAGGACTCTTTAAATACTTCTAATATCCGCTCTAACACCGTTCCTTTGACTCTTTTGACTAACACCGCTGTCTGTCCGCTCTTCTCCTTCACAGTAATCACAACGGCTCCACCCCTCTGGTGCTGGCCAAGAGACGCGGCGTCAACAAGGACGCCATCCGCCTGCTGGAGGGTCTGGAGGAGCAGGAGGTGAAGGGCTTCAACAGAGGAGCACACTCCAAACTGGAGACCATGCAGATGGCCGACAGTGAGAGGTGAGCTGAACGTGTGCACAGTGTGTGTGTGGAGGGGGAAGATAGAGGGAAGTGGGAGGAACCGGTTACGGCTGAGTACTCCAGCAGTGTCTTCCTGTGTGGGGTTAGCTCCTCCAGTAAAGAATGATGTGCTTGTTTCATCTGGGAGGACACAAGCACATCAGACTCCTGTAGTTAATGAGTCATTATTCCCTTTATTCCAGACTAAAATGCATGGGGAAGCGTGGTTTCCTTACAGCTGTACAGAAAGGTCCAAACAGCCAGATGTGGTCTTGGAGAGAGTTTGAAAATGTTAAATATAAATGAGGAAATTAGAAAAATTTAAATTACAACAAATGAACATTTTTGAAAAATCAATCTCCCTCTTCACCAGGGCATTTATCTAAATAGCCTAAAAACGTGTCGCCATTAGTTTTAGTTGCTTTGCCACAGTAACCAAAATGTGTCCATTCATGTCCAGTTTTCAGTTGAAGCTTGAAAAAAACTGAGAAAAAAAGATTCTGGTTTAGTTTGCCTAACTTTGAGGTGGGTTAGGATACGCATACCAGTCAAAATGAGGAGAGAGGAGGTGATCCCTAACTGTGATTTCCTCCATGTTTCCCAGTGCGATGGAGAGCCACTCCCTGCTGAACCCCAACCTGCAGAGCAGTGAGGGGGTGCTGTCCAGCTTCAGGACCACCTGGCAGGAGTTCGTGGAGGACCTGGGCTTCTGGAGGGTCCTCCTGCTGCTGGTGGTCATCGCTCTGCTCTCTCTGGGCATCGCTTACTACGTCAGTGGGGTCCTGCCTTTCTCCAGCAGCCAACTGGAGCTGGTGCACTGAGGGAGGGAGGAGAGGAGAGGAAGGAGGAGGAGAAGAAGTCCAGAATCCATTGTTTATTTTGTTTACTTGCAGCCCAAACTAGTCTTTTTCTCTGCTTTCTGAACAACTTCCTATTATACTGTTTTGATTTGCATTGCATTGAGTTTGCCCGCAGCACCATTCGTGTTTACTCGCGTCACTCAAACTAGACGTGCTGGCGAGGAGGCGGGGCTTATCTCCATGTACATACCGTGGTATACACCAACAACAGAGTGAACACATTTGACCGTGATTTAATTGTAATTCACGTATAATAACTAAATACTGATACAGACTAGGGACAAAAACATGAGTTCATGCTTTTGCAAGTGTGCTTACAAGAAATTAATGTTTTCTGAAAGGAGATAAAAAGTCATCTCTAGATCCAAAAGAACAAAACTCACACACTCAATTAGACACAACTCGTACGCATGGGGTGATCGAACAGGAAGTGTCTCGTACTAAAAACAAGTGTTGGTTTTTAAATAATGTTAAATATTCCCTCTTTAAAATGAGAGCAAGCTGCTTTGGAACTAGTATGAAAAGGAGAAAAAAGGCTCCTGCTTTGTTTTAATGCAAGTATCCGAACACATTTCCTTGTATAACCGTTGATGCTCTGCTACAAGCTGTGTATTGCCATTGTTTTGCATCTTTTTTCACATTTGTCGGATCTTTTAATCGTGTTATTTATCAAATATCTTCTGTATTCTTTTTCCTGCATTCTGTATGTTTTGTTAAAATCATGCACCCTTGCTTTCTTAACCCATTTCTCATGTAATCAATAGACTGGAGTTGTTGTGAATTATAAATATTCCTAATTTTGCATCATCCTATTAAAGTAGAAAAGCACCTCGACTGCGTGCCTTTTGGGGAAAAGCTTCACGTTTCAAACGCGTTCCAAAGCATGCGGCTTTGTTGCATTATAATTATCATATAAAGGCACAATGCTCATACCTGTAGGAGAGTGTTTCTCAAACTTTTTCATACCAAGGACCACTTAACCAATAAAAAAACACTCGCGGACCACCTAACTCCACAAACATCCAAAAACACATCGTTTTTCTAGAACAGATTACAAATTGTCTGAAAATGGTACAAATAAGTGGCAACATGTGTGATGAAGGTGTTTTGCTGGGCTATGTCATGCAATTGAAAGTGAAACTTAAACTCGCTCCATTGCGGAGATATCCCCGCGGGAGTGCAGAAAACTTAAATAAATACATTTATTTCAATTGTGAAATTTTACCAATATAGGGCCAAACTTTGAGAAGCACTGCCGTAGGATGATGGCAGCAGTTTAACAATGTGTTGTTGTATATTCCTTTTTATCTCAATGTCCTTGTACACCATGTTCATGTTATCTGTTTATTTTCTGTCATTAAATGTGGAACCAGAATAAAATAAAGTGTGATTATAAACAACCCATATTGTCAGATCTGCTTTTTGTTGCATTGATACACCGTACTATCGCAGGTACAGGTACAGAACAATAGGAACGGATAATCACAGTTTTTAAATTAATATAAATAAAACATGCCATCAATTTGCTTCTTTATGCATTTCTAGAAAGCACATGCTTGTATTTAACAATTATTAGAAGGCCATTCATTTGTATAATAATTTGCTTCTTTATTCCATACAGTGGCGGATCTAGACAATTTTACATGGGGTGGCAAGAAGTTTTGGCAGGGGGGCAGGCCCGCCCCTCCCTGCACGCAGATCACGCAGACTGCGTGGGGCCTCACCTCGCAGAGGGGGCCTCATCATGGGCAAATGCGGCACACTTAGCTTATGCGCAAATGCTGCGCATTTAAGCACGCCACAGTTTCGCTGCTGCGAGGCTCCGGCGCTCGCAGTTCACGCGAGTGCTCCACTAGCAGCAAAAACATACCATGTGGTCCAGCTAGAATGGTAACTGCCTCCCTGCCCTCTGCCTCCTTATTGCTTCCTGCCTCTGTCCCTCTCTTCTTCATTTCTCACATCCACTTCCTCTCTATCCATATCTTCATCTCCTTCTGTGGCCTTCTCATGTTCTGACCCTCCTGGTCTCTCGAGTGTACTCTCCTCATTTTCAGTTCTCTGACTTTTTGTGCTAAAAAAATAAGCGATATTCCTTTTTCTTTTCATTTTTACTCGAACAACTCCAGGTACTCTGGCCTGCAAAAGTCAAGATGTGAAGCACTGGTTAAAATCCACTGTCTGGCCATTTAGAAATTCAATAAACTTAAAGGGGACCTATCATGCAAAATGCACTTTTGTACGTCTTTTATACATGAATATGTGTCCCCGGTGTTCCAGGGAACTCACCAAGTGTCAGAAAACACAACCCTCTCTATTTTCCTCCATACCCAAATCTCTAAAAAAGGGGCTGCAACGGATCTGATCAAAACTGATCCAGATTTGAACACTGTCCTGACGTCAGGACAGTGGCGCTACGGCTATTGGCCCAACTCCACCAATCAGGAGGAGACAGCCACGGCCATTGCAGTTCGAAAGCGCTGGAGACGCTGTAGTACATATGCCAGGCCTGTAGGTGGTGCTGTTCTCACAGAATCAGCCCTTGCAAAAACAGAGCTAAACATTTTCAAATTGAGCGAGATGAGGCATGGCTAAAATGCATGATCTGTTTGGTATTTTGAAAAACAAAAAGTATAAATATGCCTTATATAAGTATGGTCCTTCACTATATTATTCAAATATAGCATGATAGGTCCACTTTAAATTAAATCAGAAAAGTAAAAATCATTAAAGCTTGTGTTCGGACTATTTACTCAAATTGTATTTTCTCAGTTTGACGGTACACATCTATGCACAGTCTATGCAGTAAACATTTGCGATGTAACTTGTTAATTTGTTAATTCATTGCTGTGAAATGTAAGGGTAACCTACATCAGGGTAACCTACATAAGGGTAACCTGCGTAAGGGTAACCTACATATTTTTTAAACTGCTTAGCTAACAAAACACTGTCACTCACAGACTCTTTTTAACCGTTAGAGCCAATAGAATCGAAGGGGAATTTCGTTACCAAAACCTGTCTCACGCTCTGAAATCTGAAAATGGAAAACTAGGTTTATTGCTTATGGATTATCAGAAATAATTTCAAAGTGACACAGACACATTGGATTAACCTATGGATTAACCTTCAGCAGCGTTTTAACGTTTTAATGCCATTGAAGACAACTTTTGATCAGACAACGACAAAGGTAGGCCATATTGCCGTTTTAGCTACCTAGCGCCAAGTGTTGTGATGTCTGTTTTTGTTAATAAGTTCCCGAGTTCTTATCATGGAGTGATTATATATATACCTATCGATTCTGTGTCTTCTCACGATGCTAATCGATATGTTGGATGTGCAGCTACGATAAGTAATAAGGGTGTTATGAGTGAGTTTTTGTGCCACCGCCGTTAGCATTTCTTCGCTCGTGGCTAATTCAGAGGCTGAAAAAGATCAGTTAGCTGAGTGTCTTCCCGTTACATGGATATAAAACATTCATAGTTTATTAAATATTAAGAAGCCCTCAGACGCTGTTTCCTGCAGATGACGTGTTTTTCCGCCCGCCGGCAGGGGGATGGGGTTCAACAGGTTAATGGGAAACCCTACATGTTTGAGCACCCTCTATGAAACGTCAAGCTACCTCACAGCACCCCCCAAAAAAAATCTCTGGCGCCGCCACTGTGGGCTAAACCCCGAATGTTTCCAGGTCCAGGAAACGCCCCTGCCTTCAGATTTGGCTAAAATGGTCAAAATCTGTTTTGTAGTGTTTAATATATAGCTGTTGTGGAGGATATCATGAAGCAGGCACATGCACATATAGACATCAAAGTGGGCTTGAGCCCCTGCCCTTTTTCTTCCTCCAGAGAAAGTGCCCTTTTTATGGGGTGCTTTTTTTTTTATAAATAAATGCATATATATCTACTGCTGTTTGCGCACAGTTTCCCTTTCCAAAAATATATTGATTGAATACAAAATAAAAACATCAGGTCGGGAGATTAGACTGTGAAGCTCCGATGCTCTCTCTACCCTCCCTTCCTCCACGTCTCATGCACAGCGGTGCGGACATCGGCAGTCACTTCAGACAGACAGGTAGCAGCACCTCCCACCTTACAGTCACTTCAGACAGACAGGTAGCAGCACCTCCCACCTTACAGTCACTTCAGACAGACAGGTAGCAGCACCTCCCACCTTACAGTCACTTCAGACAGACAGGTAGCAGCACCTCCCACCTTACAGTCACTTCAGACAGACATGTAGCGGCACCTCCCACCTTACAGTCACTTCAGACAGACATGTAGCGGCACCTCCCACCTTACAGTCACTTCAGACAGACAGGTAGCAGCACCTCCCACCTTACAGTCACTTCAGACAGACAGGTAGCAGCACCTCCCACCTTACAGTCACTTCAGACAGACATGTAGCGGCACCTCCCACCTTAAAGTCCCATGTTATGCCGGCTTTTCTTGGTTTATTTTGAAGGTGAGTGGTGATGAACAAATTATTAAACTGCCAATGCCTCGAGTTTACAGCTAATTAGCCACAAGACCAAAACAAATATAGTTAACTATAGGCTACTAGCTAATGGATAAGTTAGCTCAAGGTTTAGCTAAGGCAATTTATCATGGGCATACAGGCTAATGTACTTAAGGGGAGACACTTAAAGTGAATACAGAAAAATGTGTATCTAATAACGTCATCACAATCGCCACATTGATATGCAAATTAGGCGTTAACTATAGGCCTAATTAAAATGCGCTAATTTGCATGCAGTTACCAAGGCATTGCAGGGGAAAGGATAACAACAAAAAACAAAAACAAAAAAAGATATCACCTCACAACTTCCCCAGATTACTAGTCAGTATTTTCCCCGGAAATGTTGTGTTTAAATGCAGATTAGCTTTAAATCTATAGATGAATTCAGACATAATGATCTTTTTGCCTGTAATGTCCTTAAACAGTAACTTCATAATTTTGATTGTTGGCTGCTCATTTAATAACTGTTAATTTAGTTTGTTGTCTGCTGTTGTGCGTAGTGAATACTAAAGAAGACCATTGTCTCTGTGCTAGCTGATTATTTTGTAGAATTCTGTTGAGTATTAAACAATTGTGTGAGTGTGAGGGTATTAAAATAAATTGGTCAGTAAGTCAGAGATGTGCAACTATATTTAACTTTTTGTTTTACATTTTTTTTAATAAATTATTATGGGAAGTGCCCTTTTTTTCACTTGAGCTACCCCCAAATATCTGTGCACGTCCCTGTCATGAAGCCTTGTTCCGATAAAAAAAAACTAGAGCGCAGTTAGGCCTATTATATCATTTTAACTTGAAACGGGTCACGTGAGACCCGAACACAACATAAGGGTTAAATACAGTTTTATTAAAAAAAAGCATTTCCTTGTGTGTGTGGTTTAGGGAGGGTGGCGCGCTATCGCTCCCTATGGCCACACACACACACACACACACACACACACACACACACACACACACACACACACACACACACACACACACACACACACACACACACACACACACACACACACACACACACACACACACACACACACACACACACACACACACATTCTCCCTTTCTATTACCCGGAACAATCTATGTGTGTATACTTAGATACTCTACTGATATTGAAACCACAGCTACACAGCATGCGATACAGCGGTTGAGCACAATGACTGATTCTGACACACACACTGACATAATATTTCCTATACCAGGGGTTCCCAAAGTGGGGGTCGCGAAATGATTACAAAATTAAAATAGAAAATAAAAAAATGTATTTAAGTACATTTCAAAGCCTCTTTACTTTTACTAGAGTTAAGAAGTTTAGTCAGTACTTCTACTTTTACCAGAGTATTTTTAAACACGAGTATGTGTACTTCTACTTGAGTAAAGGATGTGTGTACTCTGCTTACCAGATATCGATCTTCAGCCCGTTGGACACCAGGAACTGGATGGTGTCCACGTGTCCGCACAGATGCAAAGCGGTGTTCCCTTGATAGTCGGTGGCTAGCAGATCGGCTCCGAACTTGTGCAGCAGGCGGCAGATGTCCACGTTGCCCCGGGCGGCGGCGAGGTGCAGCCCGGTGCGGCCCCGGTTGTCCCGGATGTTGGGGTCGCAGCCCGTCTCCAGGAGCCTCTTGGCGAACGGCAGGTCTCCATCGATGCAGGCCTGCAGCAGCGGCACGTTGGTCTGCGACGAGTCGTTGATGAAGACATAGGACATGTCCGAGTGGGTGTCAGAAAATTCCAGCGTACCTGCATTGAGGGAAAAAGGAGAACAGGAGATATTGTTAGAGCCAGTGTTTAGTTTTTGAAAAAGAAAGGCCACCTAATCGTGATGTCTGTAGTCAACACACTATAAAAGACTACAATTCCCACGGTGCCTCCTCTAAAAAGTGACAGTGATGGGCAACCCGCTAGAAAGACCCCGTCGAGACACAGTTTTTAACCGTTCAATTCCCCTTTAAGCTATCAAGTAATATAAGCCGTATCAAGCCAGAAAGAATAGCTAAGTTGTTTGTTATTTTATTTTAGCTTTGCCTATTTGTTTTGACTATTGTAAAGGCTTCTTTTCTTTGTTGCATGTATAAAAGTTTGTGTTTTTTATTTTGAGCAAACACATCGCATAACATCATCCAAACCATGAAGCAACTCTTCAACTGTGGGTAATATAAAGGAAAGAAAACGAGTTAGAAATGTCTGTCTGAGGCGTCTAGTGGCTGGATAGAAAAACAAGGAAGGAAGCCACGACAGATATGTTTCAGTGTCACTGGGGATCATTTAAATGCAGGTGGATTACCAGCACTAAATGTTCCAGCCTGCTGCAATTTCCACCATTTACTATTTGAATTGTAAACCACTGCCTCCCTGTGGCAACGGGTTATTTCGTCTCTGGGAAATGTGCATAATCTCGTCACAGTCTTAACCGCAACATGTCATTATTACTCATATTATATGTAATTCTGGTGCATATATCAGGGATGCAAAATACAAAATAAATAAAGAAGTGAAATAGAGGAAGTTTAACAAGCATTGACGTAGGCAATTATAATTTTTTTTGGATAATATAAATGAACTTTGAGCAGCAGCAGAATCATTCTGGGTGTTTTGACGGACAGTGAAGCTACAGTTTCAGACGCTCAATATATCCATTTACTCTCAAAAGCCTCATAGATCTACAGGAATTCAGTTAAGATGTGTTTTCTCGCCATGCCTCTTCCTCTGCTCCTGGTTTCTGCCCTGGTGTTTTGCACAGGTATGTATCGCAGTTTGTATATGAATGCTTTACTGAGCGTGACTGTGGGGTAATGAAGGGGTTCGTTATGAAATCCGTTGAATTTCTTCTCCCCGTTAATGCAGTTAAATAACATCGAATTGCTAGAGAAGTGGGGAAGAAAAAAGCAATTCTGAGCAAATTTAGATTGCATCATTTTTTTTGATATTGTGTAAGAGTCCTCTTCTTCCGCCTTGAGAAAGAGTTTCACTTGGTTTCTCAGCCCAGCGGGGGTTCCCGGTGTCTCCTGGATGTGGGTGGTTCAATAATAACGATTGACTATGTTGTGGGCTATATATCTGTCTCTGTGGTTATTTGAAGGTTTTTTAATTTGTTTTAGTGTATTTTTAAGTACTTAATAATATGGTCTTTAATACTCTGTTACATAAGTAAAAGTATAACCATTAAAATATACTTAAAGTACCAACATTAAAAGTACTTGTTATGCATTATTTCATTTAATTTTTTATTCTGTTTTTATACATGAGCATTTTAGTATAGTAGTTATATATTATATAGTATATCTTATCTTATCTTATCTTATCTTATCTTATCTTAAGATGATCGATGGCTACTGCCATATTTGCAAAATGTGCCTCTGAACCTTGACAAGTGCATGTTTCAGGCTTATCAATGAACAACAGGAGGGGTCACAGACATAAGACCAGCTGTTAAATAAAGCTCTTCTGACCTTAGCTGTCCTGTGGGTATATTAATGCTGCCCATTATGGACACAAGCAATTTTCACCCATTTATTAATTATATGTTTTAAATTTGATAACACCAATATGTTTCGTATCCCCTAAAACTCCAGGGGTGTACACAGTTTAATACTGGCAACTTCTAATTGTGGGAAATACGAAAACGTCTTTTAAAACTACAAATCCCGAGACGTGCCATAGAACATGTTGCGAAACACACAATAGCCAGCATGTGTAGTTCTGGGGGGGGGGGGGGGGGGGGCTGGGCTGGACCCGTCCGAGTTTAGGAAAGTCTGCCGTGGTTCCATTCCATTTCTAATACCCCTTTCACACCAACGGTGTTTCAGGGCCGGTTCGGTGCTGGTGCTTGAAAAGCACCGGGTTTTCCTGTTCACACCGCAGCGGAGCAGCGTCATAGCTCCGGAATCCGGTTCGTTTCGAGCACCAAAAAGTTGTCCGTCTAGAAGCAAGAACCGCATACGTCACGCTTACGTCGGAGGGGGGCGAGATTAACCTGAGCTAACACTTAAGGCGAGTACGGCAAATAAAAGTTGTAACAAGCAGTAGTGCTGAGCAAAGTGACTAGAACGCAACCACACACTTGTTAAAAAAAACACACTTTATAAAGTCAGGCAACACTAACCAGGCTTCGTGTGATTCTGTTTATTTGTACCTTACTTTGACCATCCGTTCGCTGTTATTGATCATTGTGGAGAGCAGGCAGACGTTTTGTTTGTTATTATAGCAGCTATCGGATGGAATCAATACATGGGCTGCACAGGTTGTCATGTCCGACTATCACAAGTAGAATCATAATGAAAAATACGTCGGTAAAAAGTGCCTGTAGAAAACTGCTTAGCAAGTAGTCAGTTTAGCTTCGGTTGCTATGCTAACATCACCCATGTTATACCAGAGAAACTTTCATAACAGCGTTGTGATGCCAAACAGCGTCAATTCAGACTGACACCAAACAGCGTCAATTCAGACTGACACACATTCACTTAAGGGGAACTGGGGATATGTATCAGCTGCTTGTGTGACAGTCAGACAGTGAATACTTTAGAGCCGTGTGAGCTAACCCGGAGCTAACGGGAGAATACACTCGTGGAAGAGCAGCCGGCCAGCACTGCAGCGGTCGGTAAATGCCGCTGAAACACATTAATAAACAATGAACCACGGCACTCTGGAGAAAAGTATAAGGTTGGAGAAGTCGTTATTTAATTTAATCTGGCTTCGTATGATTAAAAGCAACGCAGTCCCCGGCCCGTTGTTATTGTGAGGTGAGCTCCGGCGTTGGGGAGAAACTCAGCGACGTAAACTGTGACGTCATGACGCAGCAGCGGCAGCACCAGTCGGGCTCTGAGCGGTGTGAAAAGAGCCGGCGCTAAACCGAAGAACCGGTTCTGAACCAGAAAAGCTCTAGCACGGAGCTTGAACCGGAGTTGCGTTGGTGTGAAAGGGGCAAAAGAGCTGTTTGACGCTCGGCGTAACCTTGTCGCACTGCCACTCCAACATCCAATCACAGAGCTTGAGGACTAATCACGGGGTTTGTAAAGCAAGGCAGATGTTGTAGTCCCAAACGATAGCTCGGGATTCTGGGTAGTGTAGTGTCTAAACTCAGAAAAAACTATTTGTTTCTCCGAATCGAAGGTTAAAAACACAAAAGCATTGTACACAATTTAAACCAATCAATATTGTGTAATTAACAAAGATAAACTGATTTTTTTTAGTGGATGAGTAATGCAGATATCACTGTGTAATCATTTGACAGTGAGGGGAATACTTCCGGTTTTATTATGAAAACTTCGAGAGCGGAAATACTGTTTTCACCCCGTGAGGGTTGACGCTAACTTTACATGGAAGGTGCCGCATATAGAGTGGCGAAGTCACGCCCATCTACTTCCGCCCCATGGGACCTTATTTCGGAAAAATAATGTATTGAAGTCAATGGAGAGAGAAAACTTATCTTTCGATCCCGTTTGAATTGTGCCATGAATTACACATATGATGTTTGTCAATCTTAACAAATAATTTCCATGTCAAAAAAGTCACAGTTTGTCGTAAAACTGTTGAAATATAAGACTATGAAAAATACGCAACTAGAAAGACTACAAATCCCAGAGTCGCGTAAGTGATGTCACAATTGTTTTCCTCCACTAAGAGATAGCTAAGATCAGCGCCATATAGATAGAATCTATCTATATGGCGCTGGCTAAGAATAGATAACTTTAACAAGATGCCTGTGTGCTTAGTACCAGGTTGTTATTATACCAGCAATGGGTCTTGCTCGTTCTTTCGCTTCCCGTCTGATGAAAGGACCAGGAGTGTCTGGATCAAGCTAGCTAGTAGCTAGCACGTTAGTTAGCATTACAGCCTTGTCATTTGTATTAGCCTTAACATGAAGTAACATTAAGTAACCCAAAATGTTAAACAGTAATGGCGCGTTTCCACTACAGCGCGCAGCCCGGTTTAAGAGGGCTGTGACGTCAGCGGCCCGTCTTTGGTTGCGTTTCCACTTGGCCTAGTACCGGCCGGCGGGTCCTAATTCACAGTTTTTCTGGCCTCATAAAATCGTGGGTCTAGGGCCAGAGACAACGAGGCTGAGTCGGGCTGAGTATGCTAAACTAGAGAGAGCATCGCTGGCAAGGGGGCTACAACTACAACAAGATGGACATATTTGACCGTGATTTAATTGTAATACACGTTTCAAAATGATGCCGAAGTAACAACATACTGATACCGGTTAGTAAAAACCATGAATTAATGCTTTGTCAAGTCTGCAGACAGACGGCAGGGGAAAAACCTTTTAAAATGCTTGTTTTCTAAATGGAGATTGGCTAAGCTAACGCAGTATATGCTCCGACCGTCCACACTCACAACAACGGCCTATACAGACAGAAATAAAGCAGCGACTGTATTCACCATGACACAGGCAGTCTGTGGTTTGTACTTGTTTAACTTTTGTCTAGTTTCTGAACAGATATGAGGAGCTGTGAGCTCTGAGTGCTAACAGCTAACGGCTGTGTTGTTTTTCTGGGGTCCTCTGAAGATCACGTCATGGCTCCGCCTACACTGCGTTACTATAGATACTGCCCCAGTTCCTAAACTGTAATGGAAATGCGCCATAAAGTGAGCCAGTCCTAACGAGGCCCAGCCATACCGAGCGGGGCCGAGCGAGGCCGTGTAGTGGAAACGCGCCATAAGAGTAGTAGTCATATTTCGTGAACCCTTTGAAGAGTACTGTCACCGGTGTGATCATTCTATAATACACAATTTAAGCCCGGGGGAGAAATGCTAACGCTAGCATCGACGATCTTCTCTACTTCATGCTATCTGCACAAATGGTTGACATTAAACATTAAAACGACCAGGCAGTTCAGAGAGAATCAAAGGAAGGCAGGCAGGCAGCTTTGCATGACATTCTTCAGGACGTGTTTCATTGTGGTGATAGTGAGGGTAGCCAATCGTTTTGTTGACAAGACAGTAGTGACGGCCATCTTGGTGACGTGTGTTGTTGACCAGAGATGTAGTTCATTGAGCGTTTCACACAAACAAATGTGTCACTTCACAGTTTTACGACAATTTTTTTTTTTTTTTACTTGCAAAATTATCTTTTAAATTGACAAACATCATATGTGTAATTCGTGGCACAATTCAAACGGGATCGAAAGATAATCTTTCTCTCTCCATTGACTTCAATACATAATTTTTCCGAAATAAGGTCCCATGGAGGTCCACCGGAAGGGGAGGGACTTCGCCACTCTATACACGTTATCCTGGCGAGACCTCAAATCATCTTCGTAATATCTATCAAACTATAGATCCTACACATCGACTGGACGTAGATTATAAAAGTACAATATACACTTCTCGCTAGAAATCTAACCAAAAAGCATTTTAATGGCCAAACTATTCCACAATTTAGGATTTTCCAGAGAGGGTTATTTGTGAATAAAAGAATCTCCGTAGCGTTTGCAATCAACGGGAGCATGTTGTTTCTTACATAGATATATATAAACACTAGATGACTCACCCGCGCTGCTGGCCAATGGAGACCGACGTTGCCACATGGCCGCCATCTTGGTACAGGCAGTGCTCTCATTCATAACATTATGGTTTACTATTTAAATAACCATAGCTTGCTCAATTTTCAACCAATTTTCAAACGGTTTGGTTTTTTATAAACATCAAAGATGTAGTTATGATACTGCATACTTATAATCATGGACTTTCATATGAAAATAACATTAAGCAGATAAAGCAATAGCTATACACACACAC